GGTGGCTGGTCTCTAGACCAGTTGATGGAGCTAGCCGGCCTGTCTGTCGCGCAAGCGGGTAAGCTCCATCGATCTTGAACATGCAATCGGGTCATACTGATATAATGAGCAATCAGTGTGGAAAGTCCATCCCCCAAGTGCAGGGGAAAATGTTCTAGTTGTCTGTGGGCCAGGCAATAATGGTGAGAAAAAACCCCGAATCTTGCAATTGCAAGGAACAAAATCTAACAAATCACTAGGAGGAGATGGCCTCGTAGCCGCTCGACACCTAGCCCACTTTGGCTACACACCGTCAGTGTACTACCCTAAACAGGGCAAAAACGAACTCTACCAAGTACGCACCTCCCAAGCATGAAAATAACCCCAGAAGCAAAGAACCAAGAACCAAATCTAATACAACGCAGCGCCTCAAAACCCAGCTCCAAAATCTCTCAGTCCCCTTCATAGACGAATTTCAGCCGGCCCTAAAGACAACCGACTTCCTGGTTGATGCCATCTTCGGCTTCTCCTTCGGCGGGCCATTGCGCGACCCTTTCCCGGAAATCATCTCGCAAATCGAGTCCGCTAACGTCCAGGTGCTGAGTGTCGATGCGCCTAGCTCATGGGATATCCAGAGCGGACCGCCGAAGGAAGGACCTGGTGCGAAGTTCATGCCGCATGCATTGATCAGTCTCTCTGCACCTAAGCCATGTGTGGCATTTTATCGAGGCAGGCATTTTATTGGGGGTAGATTTTTGACGAAGAACATTACTGATAAGTATGGGCTTGATCTACCCAAGTACCAGGGTGTTGAGCAGGTTTTGGAGATTGGGGTTGATGCGGAGGGGAGATTGTAAGGGAGTAAGTAGATGGGTTGTTGAGAATGCTAGTTCATTCAATGACGAGAGAAGATTTTACGATTTATCTACTATGAAAGTGGAAGAGAAGGAAATGAATAGTCTTTGTATGGGAATCGCGTTGTCGTCGTTAGAAAGTAATGCATCTCTGATAGATGCACACCGAATAAAAAATAGCACGCACTTTCAGAGAGCCCCCGGATCTCGCTAATAATGCCCTTAATGCGCGGCTCCTTTCCAGGACCAGAGACCGAAGCTCTCGCGAGAACACCTTCGACCTCATAAACCTCCTTGGCAGCGCTCTTGACCTCCTCTCCGAGCGCTGTCACCAGTGTGCCGAGCGCGACTAGTGCCCGGTAAACCGCTTCTGAATCGTTCTCTCCTGCGATGATCCGAGTCAGTTCCTCAAGGAGGACCAGACCCCGTTCTGCGGCTTCTGCGGATTGGTTCCTACCCTCGGAGGTGAGATAAACTGCAAAGTTGATGTAGAGTGTCGTTATTGCGATGGTAAGGTTGCGGTTTGGTGACTCTCCGCTACTGGCCAAGGCGGACTTCACTCCTCCCAGGATCTGATCAAATGAGCTTATGGCCAGATCTCGACCGGCAGTCGTCTCGAATAGGTTAGCAAATGTTCGCATTGCGAGCATTGCATTGTTGACGTTAAGAGGGGATTCAAAAACACCGCTGGATATCACACCCGATACAACATTTTCGTCGTTGTACTCGGCGGATGCTGTAAATGGCGCAGCAGCCGCTAGTAGACGGAGAATATCTAGGCCAGGGAGTCGGTTGGCAGCAGGCCAGGTTGTGACAATCTTCAGAATCAACGGCACCCCGGATTCAACCTCGGGTGATGCTTGAAGCTGTTGGGAAGATTCGAGCTGGCTGCACAAAGCGACAACCGTTTCCACCTCTGAGGGGCTCAACGCCACGTCCTTTGATCCATCAGACACGAGCTTTGCGTTCAATTCCTGGAGCTTTTTGGTGATAACTTTCAGGTTTGCTGATCGGATGGAGAGATAGATCTTCTGAGGGAGTACCTTGGGGCGTGGCTCGGGAGCAGGTGGCTGGGGCTCTTCAGTCGCCGAGGCGTCTCCAGGGCGATAACGGCGGTCTGATCCCCAAGGATCAGCACCTTCAGGTTCTTGAGACTGCCCAATAGTGGCACCCTGAGTATTCTGAGTGATAAAGTTGGCAACCTGATCCAGATAAGTCATAGGGAGTTCATTGTCTCCAATAAACTTGGTGGCAGCCTCATATGGATTCTGCGAGACATTGTATGGTAATTTCAGCGGGGGCTTGCCATCTTCTATGTCGACATCGAAGACGTAGTCGTAATCTTGACCATGGTATTCGGTCTTCCGACCACTGCTTCCAGCCGAGTCCACTACCATACCAATAGCAATCCATTCCTGTGTTGCCGACGACCAGGTGTGGGCACTCACGGTACCACCAGGCTCTCGGATCATCTGGACCTGACCTTCCTTGGTTCCGGACTTTTCTTTGAGGAATTCCGGACCAGGCAGCTCCTCTTTATTAATCTTCCCAACTTGTTGCTCTGGAATAGCTGACTCCTTGACGGCCTGGTCAAACAACTGTATAGCCTCTGGGGCAGCATGACGATCAGGGCTTCTGCTAAAAACACGAGCAATGCGGTCACTAGCACCGGTAACGATATCACCGGTCTCACTGCAAGCTGCAACGCTCCACACTGATATTGCGGGATGAGTGATTGTCTGAACACATTGGGTTCCGTTCCAAATCTTCACGGTGCGGTCTTCACTGGAGCTCACCAGCTCGCCAGATGGGAGGGCAGCAAGGGAGTAGATAAAGCTTTCATGACCATGAAGAGAAGCAACGAGTTGACCCTGCAATGTGTAAAGACGAATGATTCCATCATTGCTAGCCGATGCAAAGTGGGCTCCTATAGAGTTTGAGGAGGGAAGTTTGCACAAGGCCCGGACCACGTCGTTTGAGTTTTGTACACTTCCGAGTAGGGTTCCCGAGGTATTGAATATCCGAATCATTTTATCAGCACAACCTGTGATGAAGTTAGCATGTAAGACTTATTGGGGTCGCACGGAACTAGCATACCCGTGATGATTGTGTTCTCATCATAAGCCAGCACGGCCCAGACGCTTGCCTCGTGTCCCTCCAGTACGACATCACACTCCCATTTACCGACTCTCCACAGCCGGGCCGTGGAATCCCAGCTGCCACTGACTACCCATTTACCATCAGGGGACACATCTAGAGCACAGACATTGTGGCTGTGACCCAGAAGCATAGCATCTGCATTATCCTCTGCACCCTTACCAGGCTGTCTGGCTTCAATTATTGCGTCTTGTCCAGCCGAAAGTACAAGTCCTTCGGGGAACTCAGATGTGGGAGGAACGTAGGCTAAGCTGTTGATGAAGGCGCCGCCATGTGCAGCGATGGTATAGTCATATGCGGGAGGTGGAGTGGAGATAAGCTTCCAGAGCCGAACTGTTGCATCACGAGAGGCGGAAAGGACGACATTTGGATTTGGGAAGACCACAGCGCGAACCTAGATCAAAAGTCAAATCAGTGTGAGTAGTCTGTGGTTTGGAGGTGCGGTGTCAATGGCGTCGGTACAGACGCCGGGACCAGGAGCCTTACATCATCGCCGTGGCCCTCCAAAGTTGCGGAGAGCTTGAAGTCAGGCATACATAAAACTTTGAGGGAAGAAAGAGTGAAGAAAGAAGAATCCGAAGAAGAAATATTTCAAGGGTATCACTGCGGAATTAATGATCAATCAAGCTCCCCTGGATGTTGTTGTCCTTTAGTCGTTCCGGGGGATCGCCCCGCCGCAGCATCAATTGGTAATATCACGTGGGCGGTAACGCCATCTGGGGAACCTGCTAGAACACGCCGAGGTCTTATCAAATGCAAAGGTACGGAGATTTTAATTGGATCTTCTAGCCTATGGATCTCTGCTACATGCTCAAGTGTCCAGGTGGTCCTCAAATGACTCATCTTGCATACTGGCAAATCCTCAATCTAGTGGGTAGTTATCTCTTACTTCAGCTGAAGGCTTCCAAAGCTGGGTCTATCACTGGTCTCAGGGAGCAGACTATGCCGTGACAAGGAGGTACATATGTATCTTCTCCACCATAGCGACTATTACCTTTGTCGAAAGGGGCCAAGTGTCGCGCTCAGGATCAAGCGTAGTGCAAATCACATCACATTTTCCAAAATTCACGAACCTAATCACAATACAATTGCAAAAGAAGGATGGAGAGAGGTTGATCTTGTTCCCTAGCTTCTGCTGGATTTGTCGATCTTGGAAAATAGGAATAGCTTATTGTTGGCCAAATCTTCAAGGATTTCCAGGTCTCGTTCTTCTAGGATGAGGATTTGGGGACATCTATGAGAGGGGAGATCCAGAATATTTCAACAGGTGCTTAGCATCATCAATGTCCACCACTTTTGCTAATGGGAAAGCATGTGATCATCGAGGCCCCGATTGATGAACACTATCTGCAAGAATTGATCTAGAGTGTTCTATACCAGACCGATATGAGGTACTCAATTCAAGACCAGATTCCTGCAGACCGCAGAGCGTCAACTTGCTTGGCTCCATAGTGCAATTGCTGCAGCTCATCCATGAATTTCGGTGATAGGTCACATGCTATTTGCCTGGGGGCATTAATCTCAATATATAGATGATCTCTAGCAAGCAAATCACCCGATTAACTATGAACAAGACACATACTTTCCCCTGAGCTTTCCCTCGACCTGTCAATGCCATGGTGGAATGGGTGCTCCAGCGTCGGGAGAGGGTCAAGAGCGTTAAGTCTTCATAGTCCCAGGACCAGGCAACCAGTGGAAAGAAACTTCCATATAGGTCTTATCCTTGTTGATCGAGATAAGATGAAGAGCACATTAAGCATGGCCCAGAAGATGTGGACTGGGGCGTCCAACGTGATGAGATTCTCCAATCGCTCAGTGACCATTCCAGCTTCGTGGCTCTCACCAGTCATCATTGCTTCTCGCCACCTATTGACTCGCTCTTTGCTCCAGACTAACCCCAACAAGGTCCACTCTTGTTCTTGCTCTTTGACGGTGATTTTGTTAACTTTGAGCGGAACGATATGGGATACGTCTAACCCATACACAAACTTTGTGAGAACACATTTGAATCTATCCCAATCCAAGGCCCTGAGATTCAAAGTTAGCATTATATCCTTGAGGTCGTCTCCTTCCACGTGCAGTATTGCTAGCTGCTTTATTTGGCGACCAATCTTCGCGTGCAGTTTGTTCTGGTACAAGTTCCTGCAAGTAGGGAATCTTGCCCGCCCCTATTGATAATCAGTTTAGTGGTATAGACACCCTCAGTTGGTGTACTTACAAATCCCAGGCACATCATATGCAACTTGTGACGGGTTCACATTCCTCTCCACGTTGGCCAACATGGTTTGGTCAGGCAGAGCCGCATAGGATGAGAGTACGGAGATATCACTGAACCAGAGCGCCCATCTGCAAATCCGTCGGAAAGAAATAGTGACGTTGTCATATATTGGCTTAGTATTAGCCATGATGGATGAAAAAGCAGATGATTGAAAAGTGACAGCAACCATCCAAGGTTAGAACGATATACTTGGTATCGTTATGTGATTGGAGGAATAAGGGAGAGAAAGGTGGGACTAAGGAAAGTGGGACCCGGCTCGAGATGATCACGTGACTGGTTACTTCCCAAGTAGGACTAGTATTGTTCTATACTACAGAACCGCTCTGCATCTAATGATATACTCAGAGACGTAAACCCCTCAATGATCTGAATATGCGGTTGTTTTGAGATGGTATTAGAGAAGTTACATTGGACATCACTACAGTATGTTTCAGCAATATCTTTTCCAACGTCATATATATGTTCATTTTACATACCTTTGAGGTGTCTTTTTAAATGCCTATTTAGATATCTTTAGAAATGTCATGCTACAAAACTATCTTGTTATATCCCATTTTGGATGCCTATGAATATCTGTTTAACTACGGAGTACTCCGTACAAAGCCACGACATAAGAGCCTCACGTGTTCCAATTATACCCGAATTGGACTAGCGTATGCCTTACCTAATCTGCGATCCGCGCCAGGGCTGCCCGTTATTGTTTGAAATTGAAATTCAATATCCCATCTACACACTGAAGGAGTTTCATATTCCCAGAGGCCTTCTCTCCTTTTGAGGTGTCTGTTTGGAAAAATTCCTGTTCAATCCACTTTCTTCGATCCTTTGTTCTCGGCTCTTCCTCGAACCCCACATATCTGTGTGATGACTTGACGACCCTGACGAATCTCTTATGTACCTTCCTTAGACATATTGAACTCTCTCTCGGTCTGGTTCCTGCATTTGGACCTTGATATCAAGTCGTGCGCTCTCGGTTGGGCATATCCATTGCTTTTCGCTGATCTGATTGGCTCTCTAATACCTAACATCAAAACCACTGAAACCTCGGGAACTTCCCTCAACCACCAACAAAATGACTGCCGGTGCGTGATATGTATAGATGGAAATCAAAATTGCTATCTCGATAATATTTACTGATACGCTCTCCACAGATATCCCCAAGGTAGTCCCTCTGACTTGTCACGGACATTCTCGTCCGGTGACACATCTGAGCTTCTCTTCCACTGTCGAAGACGAGCAATATTACTTCATCTCTTCATGCAAAGGTAAGAAAGACCAATGATACTCACAAACCACCACATAGTCACTAACCAACTAAAGATAATAACCCCATGCTCCGCGATGGCATAACGGGAGACTGGTACGGCATATGAAACCCAAGTCCAGAAACCACCCACCCACTAACATCAACCCCCAGGATTGGAACATTCCTCGGCCACAAAGGTGCCGTATGGCAAGCGAGGCTCTCCGCCGACGCCGCCATCTCAGCAACAGCAGCAGCCGATTTCTCAGCGTAAGCAAATCCCTCCACCCATTCTCCACAATGATGTACTAAACTTCACACCCGAAACAGTAAGGTCTGGGACACCTACACAGGCGAATGCCTGCACACACTGCAACACGCGCACATCGTGCGGGCAGTAGCATTCCCAATCCAGGCGAACCCGCAAGTGCTCGCGACAGGCGGCGCAGAGAAGAAGCTACGCATATTCGATCTAACGCGGGGTGGCAGTTCGAGCACGGGCTCAACACCCCCTATCCCGTCCTCAGCCACTCCTTCCACTGAGAATGGAGTGGCGAGCTACGAGATCGGCGCGGGCGTGCACGGCGGCACGATCAAGTCTATCGTCTGGAATCAGGACTACAATGTCATCACGACGGCGGCGGAGGACCGCAAAATCCGCTGGTGGGATCTGCGGTCGCGCCACCCGATCGTTGAGTATGGTGTTGATGGTACCATTGGATCTTGTGAGCTGAATAGTCTGGCGACGAGACCTAATGATGCGGGGATTTTGACTGTCGCTGCGGGAAAGAGTGTTTATCTCTTTGATGGCGTGCAGCCTGGTCGCTTGCTTAAGAAGGCCGATTATGATTACGATGTTGCCAGTGCTGCGGTTAATAGCGAGTCTGGTCGTCTGGTTACGGGCAGTGCGAATGATACCTGGGCAAGAGTCTATGACTTGAACACGGATGAGGAGCTGGGTATGTTTTGCTACGTCTGGTGGTGTGTCTTTTGGCGGTCGAGTCGAGCTAACTTTCTTCTGCAGAGGTTCAAAAGGGTCACCATGGCCCTATCTGGTCCGTCAGCTTCTCCCCTGATGGCAAGCTCTACGGGACTGGTAGCGAGGACGGTACTATCAAGTTGTGGAAAGCATGCCGCGAACCCTACGGGCTGTGGAGATGAACTTGATACTTTCATAATTGTTACGGTGTACAGAAGAAATGACGGAAGAATGTCATATCATCTTCTATTTTCATTTGCCATCCTTGTTCTATTTATAATTGGCGGCTTCCATTGGGTTTATGTTCCATCGATTTGTATCTTGCCATCATCCATTGGTTGCAAGCAGCTTCTCGTTCTTTGTATGCCAACTTTATGGCATGTGCGCATCTGTTTTGACCCCCAACGATAGGAAACCATCAAGAAAGACACCGAACAACACAATAAGAAAAGGAAAAAAAAAAAAAACACTTATCATAGGCAGTTTCCCGGCGTGGATATGCAACGAGAGCAGGGATAAGAGTCTAGCAAGGGAAAAGAAGCATCGAAGCAGTGAAAAGCCGAGTTTGTGATATGGATCCAGTTACAATTTGGTGGTTGAGGTAAAGTACAGAGTTTCAGTCCTCGTGCTGAAAAGCCTCGGAGATAGAAAGAGAGAAGGGAAGAGGGAGAAAGGCCGAGGGGATCTTAATTCATAAAAAAGACCAAAAACAATGCCATGGAGGACCAAGAGATCTGAAATGCGAAAGACAAGCGAGTTTCCCGTAGTTCGAGTGACCCTGAAGTATTTACTCAATCATATCGATATCGTCGTCGGCAACGGGTGCGCTGGGGGCCGGAGCAGTCTGCTGAGGGGTGTCCTGAGCGGGTGCAGCCGCTTCACCGCCGTTGTTTGCACCACCCCAGTAATCTTCCATCTCCTGGTCCAACTCCTCCTGAGTCTTGCGCGGACGGGCATTGGATCGGCGGTTGGATCCATCAGTCTGCTGGGAACGGTTGTCGCGTCCACCACGTCTACCTCCGCCACGGCGGTTGGGAGAGCGCTGATGGGAGCGTTGTCCGGGGACGTAACGGTCGATGTTGTCTGGAGCGGGCTTGGTAACATCGCTGCGGTGAGCACGGCCGCCACGGCGGCGTCGGCCATCGGCGTTGTCCTCGGGGCTCATGCTGCGGTCATCGCGGGGGCGTTCGACGCGGTCCATAAGACTAGATCTAGGGCGATGTGCGGAGTCGAGGGGGTTGCGGTCACGGCGGCCGGGGATGAGAGAAAGACGGATGGGCTGGCCTTTGGCGTTGGCTCCGTCATACTCCTGAATGGAGGTGTGTGCATCCTTCAAGCGGGCGTATGTGATGTAAGCAACTCCCTCGGAGCGTCCAGCGCGGTCATAAGAGACAGTAAGTTCAGAAACAGGTCCAATTCGACCGAAGAGATCCTATTCAGCGAGGAGGCTTGTTAGGGGCGTTCTCCTTGTATAGGGATTGAGGATGGGCTAATTGGAACGTACGTCGAGATCGCTTTCGGTAATATCGTAGTGGAGGTTATCCACGCGAACCTTGGTCAGTGTGCTCGATCTAATAATTTAATCAGCGCCCTGATCACGCAAACTACCAAGTCGAGGCTGGTTTGATGGGAGGTTCCATACCGATCGGAATCAGGTCCATCGCGGCCTCTGCGGCCTCCACGGGACGGGCGGGCTGAAGAACATTGCTGTTAGAGAGATCCTGGCAAAGTTTGAGAAAGCCACATACATCGGTCGTCGTCAAATTTGTCATGAACCCAGTCGCTAGAAACAGAGACCTGTCAGTATGATCCACATCGTAGTAGCCAGAGAGGCATAATCACAGGTTGAGATCGACACGGTCTGAAGTGTATGGCTGTTGTTATCGAAGAGACTTAGCGTTAGCTCCAAGTCAGATGAGATACCGTGCAAAGTTCTTTTCCATATCTTTGCCGTGGCGTGTTCGTTGGCGAGTCGCCAACGATCCAGAGGACTGGCTACGATTGACACGGAGCAAGAAGGGAATTCGCAGAGGGAAAGGAGGGCGGACCTAGGCATTGGATGAGATATCAGTTTCATTGCCATGTGGGATATAAATCTGGAATGGAGCCTTGGCTTGAAATGAAGTTGTACCTTTCTGACGCCATCGCGCTCGTGGCGACGGCCGGAGTTGTTGTGACGACGAGGACCACCACCACCGCCTGAGGGGCGACCAGGGTTCCGCTGCAATTGAGTGAGTCAGTTGTACGTTTTGGTGGTTTCATTGCTCGCTGCAGTCATACCGTGTCTTCAGCGATGATCTCGTCCAAGCTGCGGTCCATCTTGGAGTGTATGGCTGAGGAATGCGATTAGGGAAGAAATAAAGTGTGTAAGAGAAAGAGTATGGTCAACAAATTCAATTATGACCAGTGTTTAAATGGTAAAGATTGAAAGAATCGAGAGGTGTCAAGGAATACAATAAGGTCGCAGGATCATCTCTCATCAGCTCCAATGGATCTGGGGACTGTCACATGACATGCTTTGTGTAAATACGGCAATGATTGGCAGTATCCACATCTACAGATCAGACCCAGAATAGCTTGAAGGCTTTCCTTTGTACTTCGTACAACAACTTGTTACATATTCTTATCTCATATTAAAGTATCTCGGCTATTCTCGATTTTCCAATTCCGACTCCACGTCTACCTAGAGTTTGATAGTTGAAAACGTTCACATGGTATCCTGATCATTACAAACAGAAAAGTATACACCAACACAATACGTATGTTAAAAGAGGAACAACCTCCGAACCCCAGGATGCAAGATGAACCGTAAAAAAAAAGAGGGAGAGATCCGGGTTTCAAAAAAACATGAGAATCCTCCCTGAAAACACCAGAAACACAGCAACACCAAGTCAGTGCAAATCCCCCATAATCACCAGTAATGCTGCGCAAATATCAATCTCCATGATACCTTTTATTCCTCACTCCCATTATGTTTGTTTACTTCTCGCATTTTCTCCATGAAGCTAATGTAGTCATATTTGGCCAACTCCCGGTCCTCGAGTAGATCGGGGCCCTCATGTGTAGGCATCGTTTTAACCAGGTGCTCAATAACATCGTCTGGAATAAGCGAGTGTCGGAGGTCCAGTTCTGTGACATAGGGCTGCAAAAGAAGTTAGTGACGGTAGCCTGAGAGCACTTTTAGATATTAGAGAAACGTTTCACATACCTTGCCATCGGCAACCTCCTTGAAACTCTGGAAGACCTGTTCAGCTGTATTTTGATCCTCTGTCACGCTGACCATAAACCGAATAAACTGTTCGAAGCTGACTCCAGCATTCTGTGACAGTCGGTTGGCCCCACAGACCTCCACGTAGACCTGGTGCATCTCATCCTCGTCGTAGACCAGTCCCAGACTGGCCAGCGCTGCGGAGAACTCGAGCTCATGGAGCGTGTTAGAAGAGTCGCGATCGAAATGGCGGAATACCGACTCAAACTCTTCCAATTGAATAGGGGTCAAATTGGTCATGTTACGGGCAACCATCTGGTTGTCAAGGAATGCCAGCTTCTTTGAAATGCTGGATTTGACGAGGCTCAGCTCATATGCAAGCTCGTCCAGGGTGTATGTGGTGAAGTCGTTTTCTTCAATATTGGCCTCCGCGCACTGTTGGTCCAATTCTGCGATAGTGTCGAGAAAGGCGTCAAGGGGTGGTAGGTTGCCATTTAACTTTTGAACATGATCAAGCTGGTCCTCAACGTCACCATCCAATCCGGAGATCGCCAATGACAAGGTCTTTAGGGTCAGTGCAAAGTCATTTGCCTTGTCAGCAAAGGAGCGGCGAAGCTTGTTCTTGATGTCACGGATTGTTTCGTTTATAAGTTGGCTGCGTTCATGTTCCTCCCGGGTAAGGATCTCCCACTCCTTGTCGCAGTTTTCTGGACTCAGTTCTTGCGGTGGGTCGTAAGGGCGCAGTCGATATGTACCCAGCTTGGTTTTGATATTGCCCAGCAAAGCAGCTAGGTCAGATTTCTCGGCCACCCATTGGCGTTTCTCGTTCCGCTTGTAGAGCGAGAACTGATATGATTGTTCTTTGGCGTCTTTGTATGTTCCCTCGAACGACGAGGCCTTCCAGTGATCGCGCTGGCCACGGATCAGTCGCAACAATTCCTTTACTCGGCGCTCATACGAGTTCTGCATATCCCATGCGCCATGCATGTTGTTGACAAATTTCTCCACTCGTCGCCCAGCATTCTCGACTCTCTCCAATTGGGAGAAAGCATGGAACCAGTAGGCGATGTAGGTCATGAGGGAGCGTTCATCGGGTCTGGGTACGTCGCATACATCATCCACGTCAAGCAGGTCCGGGATGCCGATTTCGTTGGATGCGATCTCGAAGGCCAGCTTCATATTTCCACGGTGGTCACTTTTATCTAACGAGTCGTAATCGATCAAGTCTGGTCGGTGGATATCGAGGAGCGCGCAGAAGGCCAGGCCATTGTTCCAGCTGGATGAGAAGTCTCGAACCTCTACATCGTCGTAGCATGCCGTCTTTCGTTGACACCAGAGTAGCAATCCTTCCTTTGCAGTCATGCCCTCCTCGTTGATGTCGCTGATCGTAAACCGCAGAATCAGGGTCCAGATCAAACCGAGAATGATCTTTTGATTGCCGTCGACAATGTCCTCTGCGCCAATATTTGTCATCTGAATCCTCCTCCCCTTGATGAAATCAAGACTTTTGTTTACATTTTCGAAGCGCTGTACGCGCAGTTTGGGTTTCGAGGCATATCGACCGAGGGACTCTCCTCCAAGGATTTCGAGGAGGTGAATAAGAATGACCTAGTATGCGATCAGCAATTCGAAATTAGTGAGCGGGGTAGAGGTGGGACATACGCCGTCGGAGAGGTCAGTGACCAAGTCCTCGATGGACAAGCCCCGTGCCTTCAGCTTGTCATTCAGCCTAACATTACGCGTCAGCTGAAGATCATATGGAGAGAAAACGGAATAGGGGATTTACCATTTGGTGAAGGTCTTTTGCTGCACATTAATCCACTGCTTCTCAACCGTCAACATCTTCGATTCACGGCGGAGACATTCAGGGCCGATTGGCAATGATAGTGTCGGGAGGTGACAGCAAACAGGGTTTAGGGTTGAGAAGAAAAGAACTAGGATGATCAGAGAGGCTCAAAGACTTGGTTTCCGACTCGGACTGGAGATCAGACAATGGGGCACAAAGGGGGAAATAATGTCGAGGGGGTGGGGGGGTGTTTGTCCCGCAGGTCGGAGTTGAAGATCACCCGAGCAACCGTGTTTCTTGATTCTTCTTCCTTTTGAAGTCGAAAGAAAAGAAATCACTTTATCGGCATAAACTTGAAAGATAAAGGATGACAAGAATAGTTGAAACTGGAAGTTTAGGAAATTTATTAAGTGACAATTTGCAGCTGCATCCCTTGTGGACCCACTTCTAAGTATAGATCGGTATTGTTTACACCCCCTTTGTCTTTTAACTGGGAGATTTATATGAGGTGATGGATACTATGAGGACTGCTTAGCTGTTCTGGATAGGTGGAAAATCGAAGCTAGTATGTCCCCCTTTTCTGTTAGATGTTGCATATGTTGGAGGTCGATTTCCAAATGCCTATTCTGGCACCGTTGGGCACTATATGCATGCCCAGCCCTGGAAACCTGGAATGAGTGCCTCCAAATCATTGATTCGTAGTCTCCAGGGCTGGTTCTAAGTTTTTGACGGCTTATATCAAAGCTGCAATTCAAACCAACGTATCTGATATTGCCTTATGGATGTACGTGTCGAGTAGCAGGCTTAAAACTACGTATGAAATAACTTCCAAGTATTATAATTGAGTCACTCTAAATACAGTCCTCATATGAAATAGGAAACACAACAAAAACCGCATATTCCGTTATGCGACTCTATCTGTTATCCCCACATGTGACTAGCAGACTCCTGGCCTTCTTCCCTCGCGCATGGCTCATGATGGTCATGCTTCGGCGATTCTTTTGCCACGGTAACGGTGTCGAAGATTGAGTTTGATGATGGGAAAAGCTCATCGATTTTTTTCTGTGAGCGTTAAGCTATCTCGGGAAAAAAGAAATATATCGTTAGCACATACCAAGTTAGTACCATAGCACACTAGGAAAAAGATGTATCCCCAACTAATACCACCGATGTTACTTCAGCGACAATGAAGTTGAATAGCCAAGATACAGCAGTAGATAGTTTAGTTGTTGGTGCTCGAAACTAAATCACTGCGACCTCTTGAGCAGAAGAATGGAATCCTAGGGAATTCAAGGACATTGACGAACAGATATAAATACATAAAGAGAGCAACTACCATAATCCTAGTACAGTTTTTGGTTTAGGATGGACCAGTAGAGACCCGGCAGACAGGCACAGTCGAGACATACATATATGTACGGACATCATAGTCGCACGGATCAGCATGAGGTTCTGTGGAGGATCCCGGTGATCAAATAGGCCGAATTGAACCTTGGAAGGGGGGGCGAGGGGGGGTTATACCCACAGGTGGGGACGTCGCTCCTTCCCGAAGGATGGCAAGAAGGTTGGCAGGATAATGGGAAGAGACAAGAGACGAGCCTACCTGGGCATATCCATGGATGTGTATATGAATCATAATGCCACATAGGCCTTTCCAAAACTGGGTTTTAAGTTATGTTCCCAAAAAGAATGGATAATTCTTAGATGCTCCGGGGAACGAGTGGGTTGACACAGTGACGCAAACATCTAGAATCACAAATCATATTATGCATGTCAACGAAGGTGGCTTGCATATTACAGTGGATTATGATATGGACCATATGGTCCACGAGCCTCCTATTCGAACATGGTAAATATTTCTGAACAAAGCCCCGGTGGCGTAAAACCCGGGTTTCCGGGCTCCCACGGGGATCTTCTAGCCTACATATGTATACGTGTATCTTTTGCAATTTCGGGAGATACTACTCCGTACAGTAATCAGCAATTACAGGCAATAATTTCATGGTTTTCAGGCTGGGAAAAAAAAATTGGGTCAACTCTTTGACCTCTAGCATTGACTATCAATACATGAAACAGCATATTTCAGGGGTAAAACGGCGTGGCCTACGTAGTACATATGTATATTGGGCTAACAATATTTGCTTTTTAGTCTTATCTGCGGTGCTTTTCAGCTGAACAAGCCGAGGTCAGCCGCAAGATTATGCAGGGTATAGGAAACATTCCAAGGTTACCTCCAAATTAGACCATATTGATAATCCCAGGCTACTACTCCGTAATCTCTACTCCGTACCTTCAAGGTAACTAGTTTTAGATTTCATCCTACAATTTTTCTATGGTTGATGGATGTCTAACATCAAAACAGCCCCATTCGCCCAGTGAACCAGAATATGAACTCGAGCATGGCATCCACTCAATACAATGAACTACGGGATGAGATATATGTGAAAATCATGGAAAGGATGGAAAAAAACCATGAGGGAGGCCGATTTGTTCCTTATGGCACCGCGGAAGAAGTGCTACAGCCAGAAGTTTTGCGACACTTTTTTCGTAGTCTTCAATTGGGCGATATACCAAGTACCGGTTATGATGATCTTGACTTTGATTTTGACGAAAACAACTTGATCCGCAAACTAGGAGAACGGAAGCTTCACAATTTCCTCGCTACTCTCATTTTCGCATCCCGCAGCATCGAGGCTACTCGAGCGTTCACCACCAAGCTGTTAGCCGAAAGGGCCTGGCCACCAGAGATTTGCTCTCTGCCGGCGGAACGTGAGACACTCACGGAGATTTTTGGCGAACAAGTCACCCCGGATGAATTCCTAACACAACAAGCATGCTTTTGCCCTATCGTGATTTGCAAAAAAACAGAAGTTCGGATTCAGAGCCCAGACCGACAGTGTTTACCCTACCTAGAGCAGAAGTTTCGGGGGGATGGAGCACAAGGCGCTGTATACCAAGTGAAGATCGCAAAGGGGCATTTTTTCGACCCGGCCCTTGGAGGAAGAAATGAACAGCCAACGGAAATGGCGCGCAAAGATTATCAACCAACCAAGCACATGGAAAAAGATACTTTGAAGCAAATCCTTGCCTGCGATCGAACCTGTCCGAATATCGTGGATATTTACGGTAGCCTCGTCATTGGGTCGACAAATAGTTACAGCATCTTTATGCCTCTCGCCGAGTGCGATCTGAGCGCCTACATGAGGGAAGACCATCGAGCCAGGCCCAATACCACTATGGAGAAGACACAGATAATCAATTCAGCTCGAGGACTCGCACGTGGGCTGGAATTTCTCCACAGTGGCATGAGGACTGCCGAAGGGGACATGATGGTTTGTTACCATATGGACATCAAGCCAAAGAACATTTTGGTGTTTTTCGAAAATGTTGGGGACAGGCAGGAAACCGTTTGGAAGATTAGTGACTTCGGCATGTCTAGCCTCAAATTGAGATCTCATGGACAGGAGAAGGAGAAAGACTTTGGCGGGTGGTTTGCCAGGTCCCAACAGCCTAGGGATGCACCAACCTCGGCGGCCTACAACAGACGCGGAGACGGCACTTATCTTGGGCCCGAGACCCTTTCGAAACATAGAACAATGAGAGAAAAGAGCGATATCTGGTCTTTAGGATGTGTCCTCAGTGTTGTTTTCACGTACTTAGAGGAGGGCAGCTCTGGCGTGGTAGAATATGCAATGAGAAGAGCAAGTCATCGCAGCGCTGACGGCTATGATCGCTTCTTTGTCACCAATCCACTGTTCGGTCGACCAAAAATCAATCCGGCGGTCGCACTATGGCATGACCAACTGATAAAGAAAGCGAGACAGAGAAGCCCCAAGGAAGGAGAAGCGGTGAAATCGATGCTCGATTATCTAGTGCATGAGGTTCTTCAGCCAGAACAATCGAAGAGATGCAACGCTCAGCAATTAGAGGATAAATTGCTTCACACATTTCGGAAGTACGGGAGGTTAGGAAATGAGGCGAATCCGCGTTTGTCAGAGGAAGAGCCCGGCCTGGCCAGGGTACTACAGAGAATGCACATCGATTCTTTAATGCGTGAGAGGCAAGATCCCGCCACTGACAGACGCGTTGAGTATTGGGATCTGAGTACCTCTGAGCCCTTCAAAGGCTGCGAGATCTCCCCAGATGGAACTGTTATTGCGTTTTGGACTGACATCAAAATTTCGCTTTACACTTCGCAATCTCTGGAACAAGAGGGGGTTGATGGTATACACCCAGCCGCAGAATATCCGATCCCGACACTAGGGTGTCGCTGGAAGAGCATCAGCCTGACGACAAGAAATTTGATAGCTTCTACCTCGGGGGGCACTGTCCAAGTAAGAATATTTATTCTCACTTACCTTTGCTTTTATTCCTGTCTAATGAGTTTCAATAGTGTTATATCTTCAAACTAGGGTCGAATATGGATGTCAATCTCAGACCTTCGGTTCGAGTCTCTCTGCCAACACTGCCTGAGATTAAAAAGGTGGCTCTCGCGCCTGGAAGTCAGAGAGTGGCATGCATTGTCAGTAACGAAGAAGAAGACCAGAATTCAGGGTCCTTATATTCTGGCTACCTCAATTCTCCGCATGAGTGGAAGCCAAGGTATAAACTTGATTGGCCAGCAGCAGACATTGTTCAGTTATCATTTGCAACAGATGACGACCTGTATATGGTTTTCCGACCACAGCGAAGTGGTCCGAATCACAAGCACGAAATTCCCGTCATTCATCTGTCCTTTCGATCTAACCAGCTATGCCAGCTCATTATCGAGCCACAAGTAAGTCTTCGGTTCCAATTTCCAACCTGAAAATTTTCTATATATCTAATCTCTCCCATACAGGGCCTTGACACTAGCAGCACTGTTGGTCTTTTTACCACTTTCACACCATTTATCCAAAAGCCCCATGCCTGTGTACTTATCACCCGAGAAAAACAGTTGCACATCCGAAGTCTCGGACAAGGGGATACGAGTGCTGCAAAAGTCGACATCAAGAATTACCGGGTACTTAAGTTGATGATGGGTGAAAATGACGAGAAAATATTCGCGGTAGGGAGGCGCGCGGCCCATAACACGATGCTTTTATTGGAGATTGCCATACCGACACCCGAGGATAAGAGGATTTCTGTGACGGAACTTGCTGAACTCCCAGGCCTGAGATACAGCGATGAGTTTGCTGAGAGAGTTGTCCACAGTGAAGAAGATAGTGTTGTTATTCTTGCCGCTTTGGGGGGTGCGGATCAGTGTCGTATATACAAAATCACTGTGTCCAAGTCAATATCGAGTTCAGCGGTGGCATAGACTTTTCTTGTTCATAATTCTATCCTTTTTTGGTATCTTCTTACTACTCCCACACGCAATGTACATTTTCTCCGTCTCTCCCTATGCATATATCTCGAGCTCAGGTTTAGAACCGGGGTTGCTGGCCCATATGCATAAAAGTTCTATATACCTTCCAATCCAAGGACTTCGATTATCAAAGCTTGTTTCTCAAGCTGAACAATCCTGCAACTCCATACTGACATTGGAGCCACCTGTAAAGCGCCTTCTCACTCCTTCGATAGTCCAAGTTGGGCTACTTCGTATTTTCGGTGCAAGCCCGCGGAACGGTGCACCATCACGGCTCAATAACCAGTAGTATAAAAGGAACGTGACTGCCGTCAGGGCAATAGATGATACAAAGAATATCCATATCATAGGCGTACCAACAATACGATTGTTGGCTTGGTCCATATCGAAGAAATTCATACCAAATATAGTCTGTTGTGAGAGAATGTCAGTCGAGGTCTGGCAGTTGTGATATGTTGAAAATCAGAAGAGGGATACTGACAGCCAAGAATGATGACGGAAGGTATACCAACGTCAAAGTGGTGATAAATACTGCTGACTTGTTCAGCTTTAACATGTTCGAGTTTTGCTCCTTTGCCAGGGCCTGATCCCGAAACAACAAAGTGTCGGCCAGTAGCTTTGAGACAATCTGTGCCCGCTCTTGCAAATGCGAAGCATTACGAGAACTTGCAACGCACTCTCGACGCTGATTTTTGTAAAAGTGAACCCCAGCGTGATTTGTTGAGGTCACTGACCCGGAGCTAATAAGGGTACAAATGTCATCGAGGAGGTCTATCGCTGATGCTAAGATGGTTGAAACTTCGAGAAATTGGGTCTGCAGGCTAGTCAATGTCCTGAGGCTATCGTAGCCCAGACCCAACTCCCCGCCAATTAGGTTGGCGCTCGCATTGCGTGCAAGGGGTAGAAATCGGTGTTCTTGTACGGCGATATATTTCCTCCATGTAGGGAAGTATGTGGCGAACAAGAGCCGGTGTAGCCAAAAAGGATCGGATTCCACTTCAAGACAAAGATTGCGTAGCAAGTTCTCAGCGTCTAAATGCACTTTAGATTGTGACGTGGGATTGAACAGTACGAAAAGACTTTGGGATGTAGCTTTGTCGTATCGATGGTAGATTCCAGTCTGACGAATAACCCATGTATTCCCTTGTGGCTTGTACTCGGGGTATCTTAGAGTGTAAGATATTTCTGTTTCTTCACTTTAGTAGATGATCGATGTCAACCGAGTTAAAGGCATATACCAATCACGGAGCCAGAGCAGGATTCTGTAAATGGAAGGCAAAATACGACCTCGAAGTCATCGGTGCGCCGATAAAAGCAGGATGGCACTCCCCAGAATGATGGACCGATCCCGTGCCCCGCAACAATGAGTTCAAGCATCGGTTTAGTGATCTGCAATTGTCGACGGGAAGTGCGTTGACATATTGACCTATCAATTATTAGCAGAGGAAAGGGGTGTTATTGATTTGACATACACAAGGCGACATTTGTAAGTATTGTTCTGGTTGTTTTTCAGAAAAGTTGCTGTATCCTCTACCGTGCGAAGGTCTGATCGTTGATATGAGGCTCTTGTGGGGAATGATGTCGTATCCTGTCCGACCTCAAAGACCTGTACGGGTTCAACCGGGTTGTCTAGGCAATAATTATCAAACGAAGTCATTATGTGTAACTTTCAGAGAGAATGACAAGAGTGGGGTTGGTGAAATTTAGGATTTTGAGCATTATATCAGATCTAGGGGGTGGATTTATTGAACCGCTACTCCGCTGGACCCTTATGTCCACTTTGCGTGATATGCCTTCCACTGCGCCCCTACTCAGTGGCCTCTGGCCCTGCCACACCACAAGCCTTAGGCTAATCGTCCTGAACCGAACTACTTCCATGTCAGCTTTCTTATTCGACATCGAAACCGAACATCTCTTACTCAAGCTCAGCCTTGTCAGAGAACAGGTGTCAGCGACGGACTTCATTCGGGGTGGGCAATAGATCACAACTTACAGGATCCACTATTCTAGGGGCAGTGAAGATCCATTGGTCTTCTAGAAGCTAGAACGTGCGAGTCAGCCTTGCGCCCGATGTACGAGTTTCAGGCGAATTACCATAATACCAAAGTCTGTTTGTCCAGGAAACAATTGCTCAAGCAAATCCTGAAGTCTGTCTCTCCGCAAGTAGCGGCAACTCGTGGTTTGAAGATTTCCAGGCATGATTTTTCGAACTGATTGCAATCTTTTACTTTGCGAGTTGCGTTTCCTCCAGACCAAACACGGGGGACATGATAAACCCTAAGCTGCGGCTGAAACCCTGGTGATTGCACTGCCATGTCACAAAGCCGATCTTTGCCTTGCTTATCCGTTGCAATTTTGTGCGGGCTATCAGGTATCGCTGATTCGAGAGTTGTCTTGAGATAATGCGGCACTATTCCACATGGGGGTATCATCTCCGCTTTGTGATATGACCGGGATTTCATGCATCAGCACTACCCGGGTTCAACCTGCGATCTTGAAGGCAACTACAGGTAAGGGGGAGAAGCTTTCGATATCCACAATTTGTTCATGGGGCTTAACTCCATTGTGCTTAAAATGCGGCTCAATATTATATACTTTATCGAAGAACTTGCCCTTGCCCTTGCTTTGAACATTCCAACGTGTGGTAATCCTAGCTAGGATATATATACGCTTTGTTGCATCATGTCGCAGCCGGCAGAGCCACAGTTGATAGAGCTGGCAGAATGGGCACGGCCCTGGCTCTCTGGTATTTTGCCCACCCGAATGGTAGAACAAATCCCAGCTGGAAGTCCACAGCCACAATCTCAGGATTCCTCTCTTTGCCCGCCAAATGATTCTCTGAGCTTAATAAGCTCACCATCGTTGGCTTCCACGAACCCAGATGACACCATGCGTATCACCAAGCTCCCAGATATACACCTTGTTGTCACGCTTGGCAGGGAACGGACCGTCAGTAGGGCACTGAGAGGCGTTCATCTATTTGTATGTGAAGATCTCCGAAATTCCGAACTTGAGAGGGGACATTCCTGCATCATCGACTGCAATAGGCAACATCGGTCATATTTGGTACCTCGAAATGGGGAAGGCTAACAGAAATAGATGATCACAGTCAACGCAACTCTCGGTACAGGCCTCTACTGGCGTGGGGGTCAGATTCTTGAACTTGGTGGACCGTTGGCGGTGGTTCTATCTTTTCTCTTCATCGGAGTGTTAACATGGGGTGTCATGCAATGTATCACTGAAATGCTCTGCATTTGGCCAATACCTGGTGCATTGTCAGTATATGTTAGCCAGTTTGTCGACGAAGAACTAGGGATCGCGGTCGGTATTACATATTGGTAAACTGCCCTCTCCCCCTCCTAAAGACACCAAATTTCACCCAAAGGACCGGTGAAATCTAGGATTCATGAGAGACGCTGACAACTACAAAAGGTTTGTGTATTCGATGTCTTTCTCCACACTGGTGGCAACCTCCGCTGCGGAGTTCAGCTTTTGGGATTACTTTAATGATAGTCCGGTTATACAAGGCTGCATTATATATTTTGGGATCCCACTGATGCTCGTTATCTTCAACGCCATAAGAATTGAGGTAATCTTTACCCGTCATTGTTCACCAATGAAAATGGTTGCGAGTTGTTCCAAGAACATGTCAGCTAACGAGTGTTCAGATCTATGGTTGGTTGGAAGTGGCAACAGGCAGTATCAAGATACTATTTCTTGGTGTTATCATCGTGACACTAATTGCAATCAACCTTGGAGGTTAGTAAAGTGCTTCACGAACATCCTTCATTGGATGTGTGTGCTTTTTTGAGAATAGGTGCTAACAGTGAGCAGCTGGTCCAGATAATAGCCCCTTGCGCACCAAGTGTAAGCAATGATTACCATCTCATATATTGCTTACCATATTGAAGTACTAATATCATCAGATTGGGCTTTTCCTACCGAATTTGATACACGGGCGGCCAATAACTGGGGCACTGCTTTACTGTGAGTCGTAACATGCGTCCAAGGGTTCACTCATCTCAAATTACTAATTGACATATCAGCATGAGCATTTCGATAGCAACCTTTGCCTACACCGGAGTTGAAGTTGTTGCTGCCTCCGCCCTGGAGGCAAAATGGCCACAGCCCACAGACGAAACGTCGAAAATCCGGTCTAACGACGCCTATATCGGGAAATCATTCAAGTTTTCCGCTAGATTTATTCCTTTACTTGCGATGGTCGCCTATACCACCAGTGGGTTGGTCGCAACATTTGATATAGAGCGGACTAGTTGCGATCTCCCTCGGCTCAGTTGGCTTTCATTAGATCCTAGCTGTGCTGGACCTTCGAACAGTGCTGCATTCGTTGCCATTGCCAAAATTTCCAATATTCCGCACATGGCAGACGTGTTCAATGCATTCCTCGTGTTCACGTGCCTCTCTTGTGCTGCTACCAATCTATATGTCGCCTCTCGAACCTTGTTTGGTTTAACAAGTCGTCTGGATGTAGGAAAAGGCCAAAGGTGGTATCTGTATGTGTTGGCGTGGTTTGGCAAAACGGATAGACGACAGGTTCCCCTGCGAGCTATGATATTCTCCGCGGTTGCGTTCTGGTGGGTGCCATTTCTGCAACTGATCCGCGCAAATAACAAAACCCAATCCTCTGAAAAAACAACTGAGTCAACCTTGAAGGGAAGCCGAGCCTCCGTGGATATGGTAAGGACATAGCTTAATTCCCCCTCGCTTCGAATTCAGAGCTAATAAAAGCGAATAGTTTGTGGAGGTATTGAGCCAAATGGCATACTCTGCGGTTTTAATCGTCTGGGCGTGCGAGTGTCTGGCGTTTATTCGCTACTACCATTGGTTCGTCTGGCGATTCGGCTGTTGAATATTCGCAATATTAACGAGAATTCTTTCCCCTAGTATTTCTCAACATCGTCATTACCTCGAACGCGACAAGGTCCCCCACGTCCAGCGCTGGAGCGAGGAGAATCATGATGAGTATCCATACCGCAGTCATAGACAGCCATTTACAGCATATCTATCCTTGTTGGGCTGTATCTTTGTCTCATTAGTCGCAAACGGGGCTGCATTGTGGAATGGGTTCCATCTTTTACCATTCCTCGCATCGTACCTGACGGTAAGAGAGTATTGTGCATCGTGATAAAATTCAGTTTATATGGACTAACTGCAATTTATTGAACCAGGTCATTGTTTTCGTGGGTCTATGGGTATTATTGAAGATTATGCGGGGTGCGAAGTGGTCCTTGGTTGATCTCTCACATCCTGGCCAAGTCATCAAGATATTCAAGCATCTGAATGATATCCGCCTGGGTGTGACCCAGTCCTAACCTTGGAATTTGGAATGTCATGTCTTATGCGATCATTGATATCTCCAGGACTGCTTTGAAATTCAGCCTCGGTGACAGGTAAATGCAAGTGTGAATATGAATCTTGTATAAATAGCCATTGTATGAAATATATAGTCATCACAGCTTCGCCTTCCATCTCTCCTTCCCATCACCCATGAACGGCCAAACAACATCTCTAAGCGAGTCACCCAATAGGTTGAGAGACTTGATAGGAGTGTTGTGGGTGTGGTACTTTTATGTAGATATCAGAAAACCCCCCAGATGTGGGGTGGCTGGTGGGGTTTAGGCTTAACCATGGAACTCGTTCATGGAATGCCTAAAGGTTATTTACCTCCCGATGTTTCTTCCCTCTTTAGTTAAGAGTCCGACAGCTAACTACAACGATTTTTCTCTATCATGCCTTTGGGAAGTCCCAAACGAATCAAGCCAAAAGGTTAGAAAGCTACAAACATGTTGTGTGGACTATCGTGTCATTTTTCCTCGGATTTTACACCGGATCAAGTGCAATACGGCTGTCTTTTAGTCGTTTCAAAAGGGTTAGAGTATCTATGTCAAAGCTAGGTGACAATTCGGTATTTCAACCCCCCCTAGGTACATAGATTGATCTTGTGTTTAAGAAAACCAACTTTTTTTTTCGTGAGGCAACGGTTCGCAACCATTCCTAAATTATTTTTTTAGAACATTGAATTGAATGGCCCTGAGACCTTCACCTTTATTCTATTTATGTCGCTTTTGATGCCATGAAACCATTCACTACCACTGCCAAGGCCATTCTCATTACTTTTACCCTCTGTCTGGCGATAAGAGCTGACGAACAGCTTCCTTTCAATTCCTCTCAGGGTGTTCTATGGAACCTTTGTAAAAAAAAGAGTTATCGTCACTATAGAGGTTTTGTGTAGGCTTCTCATGGCAAGTCATGGGGAGCTACATAAGTGCATGTGTCTACTATGGTTGAGCAAAAATCATAACCACTGTTGATCTGACCTTTTCAAACACCTTAGACAAAGTACATTAGTAAATTCGGAGCCATCCCCGCACTGTTCTTCGATGGCGCAATATGTAGCATTATAAAACCAAATGTAAGCCCAATCAAATGGCATCACGCAATTCTTTGGTGGCCAAGGTACAATGCAGGAACAAGTTTTTACAATGAGAAACTTTTGTAAACAGGTACGAGATTAGAGATTCTTAAACAAGAAGAAAAGTAGACGAAAATTCAATTTGACTTGATTATTTGCGCGTTGAGACTATTATTGTTGCCCTGGAGAAAGAGTGATGCCGCAAAGCCGCGGTGGTGTTTGGAGTTTAGTCATCCGAAATGACCTCATTTTCGCAAAGCGGGGCTAGGAGATTATTCTTTTGAAAGCACTTAGAACTCCAACTCGACTTTTTTTTTCCTTTTAGCAAACAACAATACCTCTCAATCACTCCAAGATGTCCGCCTCGTTCAAGATCACCGACCTTCTCCCCCTCCCAAATTCGAGTGTTCGCATCCCGCGCCTCGGCTTCGGCGTCTACCGCTCCCCCACCAACCAGTGCGTGCAGTCCTGCCTGAAGGCATTGGACGCAGGCTACCGACACATCGACACAGCACAATTCTATGCCAACGAGGCGGAAGTTGGTGAGGCACTGCGCACCACTAGCGTTCCCAGGGATCAGATCTTCGTCACGACTAAGATCCTTAGCCCCGCAGCCTCGCTCGAGGCTACCTACGATAAATTGCTGGCTTCTGTGCACAAGATCGGCGGCGCAGATGGATATGTCGACTTGTTCTTGATTCACTCCTCCAGCTCGGGCTCTGCTGGGCGGAAGCTTTTGTGGCAGGCGCTTGAGAAACTGTACGCGGAGGGCAAGACGAGGAGTATCGGTGTGAGCAACTTCGGTGTGGGACACATCGAGGAGATGCGCTCATATGCGCAAGTGTTCCCGCCTCATGTTAATCAAATCGAGGTTGGTACTTTTGCTTCTATTACTACTCTTATATCTACATAGGTAGCTATGTAACTATTTGGTTTGATCGTGATCACTGACATTCTATCTTTGCAGCTCCACCCGTGGTGCCAGCAGCGCGTCATCGACGAATACTGCCAGAAGAACGGCATTATCGTCGAGGCATATTCCCCCATCGTGCGAAACTATAAAGCCAACGACCCAACTCTAGTGGAAGTCGCAAAGAAATACGGCAAGTCCACTCAGCAAGTCTTGATCCGCTATGCGCTGCAGAAGGGCTGGGTGCCTCTTCCCAAGACCGACAACCCCGAACGAATCGTGGCCAACACAGATGTTTTCAGCTTCGACATCAGTGTGGAGGATATGGCTGTGCTGGATTCCTTAGACCAGGGCAGTGCCGGCGCTATCGTGGAGGCTGTGGACAACGAATGAGCGATCTCTGGAGCATGTTCTTAATGACCCAGGCGATTCGAACCCAATCAGGCCCGACCCGGCGATGCAATGTAGTCACATTGCTCGAGGTCAATAATCCGGCGGCTGCATCAGGAAAGCATTGACAGATTGAAGCGTGGCGCGAGACGGGTTCACGTCATGTTTCGACGACACGAGCCAGGCTAGACGCTGTCGAATGAACTGCTTGCTGATCGCACGTTTGCTAAGGGAGGCATCGAAGCCGCCTGTGAAAAACAATTAGTTATTTTTCCCTTTTTCACATAGCGTTGAATCCATCACCCAGACCACCTGGAGAATTGCATACATACCCTCGTCGTTATAAAACAGACAAACTATCGCAAGCAGCGTCCCTGCCGAAAGATCCTTCCCATTCTCACAAGTAACCAGCACCGATAGCGACGAATCCGCCCCAAGACGAGCGCCAATAAACTCACGCACCTTCTCCAGACATTTTCGTAGATCCCGACTTCCCAGTTTCCCAGAATCACAGCCCAAATTGAGCCGCTTCGCATTTCCCTCCACATCTGCAGCACTCCCATTGCAGTCAATGACAAGATCATACCGACCTCCAGCATCGACCCCCACTCCCGAGCCAATGTACAAATTGCGCGTGGGGGAAATGAGTGTTGCGTCCTGGGCCACATCCAGCAGCTTGTGTTCAGCCACCAGCCGATCAATAAGCTCCGGCAATTCGTCTTCAGGTGTACTCTTCAAAATAGCCTGATTGGCCCAGAAGACTGGCGGCGTCAGTCCATGCGCCCACGCCTCGCTATCATCGCCCGCGCCTTGAATGTATCCGCCCTCGGACATTTCGGCGCCATGCACGCGCCTGGAAGCGGAGCATAGTACGAGTAGATTGTAGTCACCGCTTGTCTGCAGACCTTCCGGGTGAAAATACGTCCTATTGGCCCAAGCAATCTGGATGGGTTTGCCGAGTTGCTCGCGCAAATTGTCCAGGTCGAGTTTCAGGCTCTGGGGGAGGTATCAAGTATCAGCTACTGTTGCCCAGATAAGGAAGGGGGTTTGGTGCATTGGTTTGCCCGAGTCATGTTAATGTCACACATGCGTACCTTTAGGGAATGCACGAACCCTTCAATTCGATTCTCGATTTGCGCTTCTTCCGATGCGCCCAGATAATCGGGTGGGAGGCGGACTGGGTGGTATTCAGTTGCGGATGGGAACAGTGCTCTGTTTAGAACGGCGCTCCAGATTGGGACGGTTTTTGATAATGCGTCTGGCATCACTAGCGGCGGGTTAATAGAGGGCTCGAGGCTTGGCTGTAGCCATAATATGCATAGTGACCATCTGGGTAAGGGAGGCGGGATAATTCTCTAATTGGGAATAGTGTAGGTAGAGGTGGCACATACGTTTTCCTCGGCGAGTTGAGTCCACAATTACACAGCTGCAGCATCGAAGAAAACATAGTCAGCTTCCTTGCGTTCTTTCTGTGGGCTCTTAAGAGGATCATGCAGTGATGGAGTTGTTGCCATGGTTTATACTTGGGTCAATAAACGCCAACCAAAAGCACTCCAACACAGATATAAATCCATAAGCAATAGAAGACAGTGAAAAGGAAGTTAGACTAACCCCCCATGATCCCTGGCTAGCGGGAGCAACTGCAAGTTCAACCTGCGAAAGCTAAAATCCCACTGACCGGTGTGGCCATCGGTGCTTTTGAAATAAGCACTGCCGGCCTTGGCCGTGGGCGGGATATACCAGCTTCCGCAGCGCTCATTAGCAACCAGAGGTAGGCCATAGTGGTCAGCGACCTCTTGCGCAAAGGTGGCATCGGTCTCAATAGACTGGAGCCGATTGGCGACAGACAGCGCCGATCGACGTAGAGACGAAAGCGTCTGGGAGATTGACAGCTGCGCTGACGGGAAATGAAGGGACTCCAGGGTCGGGAGAGTATCGGAAGACCCCATGTTCGCCCTCTTTTGGCTAGAGCTGTTAGTGCCAAGTATATTTCGAATTCAAATTGGTATCAGGTCGTACTCCGGGGTTGTACTAGAAGCCGCTTCGGGGTTGCGGCAGTGCAAAGTGGCGATTTGGCCCGAGATCCGCTGAGTCGTGCTGGTTAGATTGCTTTTTATTTGACGAGATGTTATGTTGCGGTTTTTATTTTTGGTCTTCGGGTCGAATGTGAAGGAAGGCCGTTGTGGAATTGGCAATTTTGGGATTTGGGTCTGGCCAATCATGGTGATTGTATCGAAGAGGTGGACCCGGGTTCGTACGATGTATACAGTCGTGCTACATGGTTCCTGGTTCTTCCTGGTTGTGTAAATCTGTCTACGGAAATGAGATGAAATGATTGCTGGATAAAATTAATAGAGAATCTATCACGCTAGCTTCCGGACTGTCGCGCTCCGAGAATGATTGTAGGTTGGGCACAACTCCCCTTAACACCAGATAATGATAGACTAACCCCTTGACCATGGCGATAATAGAATGAGGTATAAAGCAGTCAAATCGCTCATCGCTCACCGGAACTGGAATAGTACTACTATATGTACTCTATACCGAGGTAATGTTAACGTCGGGTTCCTCTCTTAGTCCCCGCCAAGCACGCTCTGAACGTCCAAGTGCATACTCCGTACTCGATATTGTCTGACCGCGCCGGTTATATGAGATGACACGGGAAGATGGACCAACGAGCGGAACATCGGGCCTACATGCTTGTGTATGATGTATGGTTCTCAATCATTCCGTCCCCCGGGTTTCTTTGCGAATTGGAGTTCGGTCTCCCCTCGGAGGATAGTGGGGAGACAGTGAGAGAAGACGGAGACATGACCGTGCATGAGCTTGGACCTAGTAGGCTGATGTATACCTAGGTAATCGTATCTAGTGCGGTCCAATTAAATGACCTATTTACAATCTAGAATCTTGTACACTATAGACATCAGGTGAGAAGGTTACTTGCATATAAAAAGTCACTTGAGTAGAGTGCCCATGAATAAAATCATGTCACGGGATGGTATATCAAGACTAATTTCAAATATCGAAGAGAAAACATCGAGGAGAATAAGCCGGTGAGAAAAAAAGAAAATGCGAGAAAACGCGAGAAACTGCGAGGTGAAACCATCGCACCTGCCCGGAGTAGAAAAAGTACACTAGGCTGTAACCAGACTAGCTCGATAGGTCTGTGCTTTTTTATTGGCTGAATACCTGACCATCTCCCCAGATTTGAGGTACTAGAAACCTGCTTTTACACAATAGAACAAGGCCAATTTGAGGTATCTGGTACTTCCTGCCCCACGTCAATGACCAGCCCCTCCCGTTCTGGCCCGGTTTCCCCTTGGAGATTGTGATCGCGGCGTCATTTCCTTTGGGGTCGGCTCTTGCCTTTGGACTTAAATACTCCAATCGCCTATTTCCTTGTTTTGCCCAGACATTCCTCTACTCTTCATTTTGACCTGCATTCACTCTCCTAGATCATACTAGATCAAATACTCTTCAAATATTACACTTCTACCCGCATTTCCCCATCTCAATAAACAAACATCCCGGACCTACGCTCCGTACCTTCATCATGACTAAGGTGCGAATATCATGGTGTCTCCAATAAGAACCTACCGACGCTAACCTGGACTTGCAGATCACGGAAATTTTCTTTGATTGCGATAACACTCTGGTCCTCTCAGAGGAGCTGGCCTTCGAGGCTTGCGCCGACCTGGCCAATGAGATTCTGGAGGCGAACAACATCCCTGATCGTTACACCGGCGAGCAGCTTATCAAAGACTTTGTCGGCCAGAACTTCCGCGGCATGATGGTCTCCCTACAGAAGAAGTACGACTTCCAGATCGATCCGGAGAAGTTGGAGGAATATGTCACGAAGGAAGAGGACAAGGTCATTGCCAAGTTGAACGCCAAGGCTAGGCCCTGTGTTGGTGCCACCGAGGAGTTGGAGAAGATTTACGCGGCGAAGAAGTACGATATTGCCGTTGTCTCGTCTTCCGCTTTGCGCCGCGTTCTCGCTTCTATCAGAAAGGTCGGTCAGGACAAGTACTTCGACGAGGACAAGGTCTTCAGCGCTGCCAGCTCTCTACCAAAACCCACCTCCAAGCCCGACCCCGCTATCTACCTGCATGCTCTCGAGAAGGTCGGCAAGACTGCTTCCGAGACCGTTGCCATCGAGGACAGCAAGTCTGGCGCCCTTTCGGCGGTTCGTGCTGGTATCCATGTTATCGCTTACGTTGGCAGCTACAATGGTGAAGAGACACAAAAGCAGATGGCCGCGGCCCTGACTGATCTTGGCGCAAAGACCGTCATGTACCATTGGTCTGAGTTTGAGGATCGTCTGAAGGATATCGAGAATGATGTCTCCGTTGATGTTCAGTCGAGCCTTTAAACGCACTCTGGCTAATGACGCTTGTACGCCCACGATTTTATGATAGCGAGCGTATGGTCGTTATGAAGCACTTTCTATTATTCTTTTTGGTTTTGTTTTACGCTACTCCGTGTAGCGTGGACTCTTGATTTCTCTTGACACTTTCTGTTAGCAAAAGATGATTCCATTTCTTTTGACACAAGAGTGAGAAGTCTTGCTCGAGACTGGACTGTGTCCGGTCATTGCTACTTTCTTCTTTGCCTGGTGCATTACTTTTTAGTATCTTCCGTCTTTGTATAGACAGGTTTCGATGCGCAATGATACAATTTAACAATACTTTGTCATGATTCGGTTCTAGTTTTTACTTCATATCCCGTAGGGTACATGTGCCATTCTTTTTCATCTTAAGAACGAATATAACATCGAAGACATCCATCAATATAAGACCGATAAGATAAGGGCCAACCCCACCATCACCCCGCCATCACCCCTCCCAAGGTCCCCCCATTGCCCTCGTTTGGATTGGTTGACGGTCTAGCAATATCAGTCTAGTCCTCCATTGGACGAATAATTTGTACACCATTATCGAAGCTCGGCTTGTTCCCACTTCTCCGATCTAAATCACTGCCAACCCGTGACAATGTCATCTCGCACGCAGGCCAAGTCGAAACTCATCTCGCGGGGACCATTGGTAAGTTACTCCAATCTCCCCGAGGGTCTATTCGGCAATAAACTTCCAGTCAACTGCGTGTAAAACGGAGTTGGGCCAACATTACCAAAACCGCGACGGTGCATGACTTGACGCGTTTTACCAAACAGGACCCCAATGAAGCCCGCTGGGCTCGAATGATCAAGACAACATACACTGACCCCCTGGGTGTCGAGCGAACATGGGAATCAGCTGAGCGCACGGTAAGACTCATTCCGCCCTATTATGTGCTTACCCCGTTATGCTGCGCTGTTGATCGATGTCCGGGGTATATGCATCACACCCGGCGCAAGTATCCAAGTGACACGCCCGCGGGACTGCCACGAGGGCCACCTACATGGGTAGCATAAGATCCAGCCTCAGCTATATCGGCAAATGGTGCTTAGCATTGGTGGGGCTCCCCGATCTCGGGAACCTCTGCTCTAGGTGGCTTAAACCCGGGCGTTGCCCGATCCCGTATCAACCGATACCACATGACCATTGGTTGCCTTGTCATGTGTATTGGATGCATTGGCCGATCTTCATTACCACAAATTTCGCGCAACCTTTCAGAGCCGCTGTTTTTTGAAATTTAAATTCGGATTTAATGCTAACCGCGTTTGCCTAGACCCGTCCTGCCGGTATTGATCTTGATGGCGTTGGGATTGTCGCTATTCTGAACAAAGATACTGGCTCAGAGCTCCTTCTGCAGAAGCAATACCGGCCCCCAATTGATGCAGTCGTTATTGAGGTTCCTGCGGGACTAATCGATGCAGGTGAGACGCCTGAGCAGTGTGCTGTTCGAGAACTCAAAGAGGAGACTGGTTACGTTGGTGTGGCGGAGCAGACTAGTCCAGTGATGTATAACGGTACGTAGGCAGTGACCGCCATCTTTACTTGCTTCCATCTGCGTATTTGACCTTTTCGGGTGTTGAACGCTGACAAACATCTATGACTTGATCAGACCCAGGACTTTGCAATACCAACCTGCATATGGTCCACGTCCGGGTTGATATGTCCCTTCCCGAGAACAAGAACCCAAAGCCTGAACTTGAGGATAACGAGTTCATCGAATGCTTTACTGTTCCATTGAACTCACTGTTTGACGAGATGAAGAAGCTTGAAAAAGAGGGTTATGCTATTGACGCCAGGGTTGGAACGCTAGCCGAAGGAATTGAGCTGGCGAAGAAATGGAGACTGTGAGCTAGGAATTGTGTCATATCTCACTGACATGTAGCACAGCCATACATTGATACAAGCAAACACCCTGGCATACCCATTTTGCACATGTTATTCCCACTCAAAGCAACCCATCCTGCTTTAATCCCTGATACAAAGCCCAAGCAGCCAAAGTCTTCCCATCCCTAAGCCCTTCCTTCCACAAATCCGCCAAAGGAACAACCTTGAGTGTAATCTTCTCCCCATGCTCCCGTAATCCCGTCAACTTCCCCTGTAACTCCTCAATCTCCTTCCGAGGCATAGATTTCAGGCACAAAAACAATGGAATAAACTCATCACTCCCGCCAGGAGACGGATACACAGCACTCTGTAGGCGCTCACCATAACCAGGTTCCTGCGCAGCCTGCAGCGCCAGCGAAGTCATATCAATCAAATCCTCCTGCTGGACACACAACCCGGTCTCCTCTTGGATCTCCTTCGCCGCCCCGCCAGCAAACGTTCCACTGTCATCAAGCATCCCAGCCGGGATCTCCGGGAAGGACAGCGAACCTGCTGGGATGCGGGGCTGGATGGTCAGGATAGCGCGCTTATCCTTCTCAGTTGGGGACGGTATATCATCCGGTTGGAGGATAAGCTATTCATGAAATTAGAAAACAAAACACATTTCTTTCTTTTAGTGGTGGGCCTGGGGCTGGGCCTGGGGCTGAGGCTAGGGCGTAATAAACATTTCTTTGCCTGGATGTATCTAGAAAACAAAAGGGGAAATCCCCTATCGTGTGGAAATAGACAATAACTTACCAACATGCCGAGACTGCCCCCCCGCAGAAATACGCTACCGGGCAAAGTCTCACCCTGGGCATTGGATACCTCCGCTTTCAATTTGATGAAGCCTAGTCGACCGCCACCGAAGCGGTCGACGGCTTGGATGTCGATTTTGCGCAGTACATATGGGTCACTGTGGAACTCGTGCGAGGGGTGTTCTTGTCGCGCTAGGGATTGCTGGAGGGTTGTTATCCAGACCTTGAAGGCTGGAAATGAAAGTAAATCATTTTGGCTTAGATCCGGGATGCTATTCACATGGAGATTTGAATTGGGGATTGTGAATGTTGACATATTGGCTGTTTTTGCTTTTGCTTTTGTGATGCTGATGATTGGTCTGCAAGTGGGGATCGGCTGTGTTGGTTTCAAGTGTCGCGCGGCAAGGCGGAGGGAGTTCATTAATTCAGGTTGGGTGAGACTTTAAAGCCTCTCCATTGAGATGTTTTACGGTGGGAAACTTGGTTTGTTACAGCATACGACATACTTTGGGCACAGCTGTTTTCAAATGTTGCTTCTATGACGTCGTTCAGTCTTGGTCTCACCCCTTTTCATGAAAACACTAAATATATATTTTAGATATCGTATAGCTCAAGCACTTCTTTTCAGTAATTATTAATTCTGCTCTTGTGGAATTAATTGCTGTTTCAAATTTGTCATGGAATTCATCATAGAGTCCAGCCCGTTCACAACTTTGGAGCTATCAGTCTCGAAATATATAGTTCCACCTTTTATTAGAAACAGTAACTAGCGTATAGCTTTGTCTACAACTGGTTTCAACGATTGGTTTCAGAGGTTAACTATATAAGAATATACTCAAAGCTGCTATTGGCCACATCTCATCTTCTGTATTGTGCATTTATCCCAAGTCTACGACCCGTCGAACAGTACTCCGTATTCTGTACTTGGACCTATAACATTGGCCTTTTAACCCTTTAGGAAGCCATCCCTCCACCAACGATCTCATTGGTCATCAAAATAAACTTTCTCAAGAGGTTGCAGCTGCAGCTGTATCTTAATGCCGATGGGGCTGGCAGCCTCGCAGATGAATTCATACGTACCGCACAAAGATTTATGATTTATCTCAATGGCGGGTAGAGTCATTCCTACTTTGTACAAAATTAGATAAAAGCCTATATACTATGCAATTTTTTTGTCCTTCTTTTTCGTGGGTTTCCATGTTCTTCATATGCGCTCAGATATCTCGGGCTCCGATGAGGGGTGAGAATATGCATGTCACACGAGTCCCGTTAGGCTCTTCTAAAGACAGACCTACAAGTGGTTAGAAAATTATCTCAGCTGACAGAGCAGCAAATGCATGTTAATAGCGGTCAACTGCCTACAGCTACATAGCTGCCTAGGGTGAAGTTGCTGATAGGGCCATAGTACCGACTATTTATGTTCCCAGCCAGTCCCTCAATCCCAAAACCAGACACGTGTTAATATTGTATCTGCCTTGAATTGCTTATCCCGAAGAAAAGCAAAATGACTACTCCGTAGAGACGACTGAAGTTGGTATAGTGCGACCCCCACCCCGGGCGGAGCTTAGAGGAAGCCTAGTTCCAATAAATCCTGTTAATAGTAACGTTACATGAAGTTGCCTCACACTCCAAAATGACATCCATTATCCTCAAGACAAAGCAATGAAAATCATATGAAGGTAAACTAGGCCGAGAGCCGAGACCATTGGAATCATTGCCTAATCAAGTAAACTCCATACAAATGCACAATACAAGCTCACCAATGGCATATACTTTGTAGCCGAGCACAACCCCCCTTTTCCATGCAATCTAAGCATTCGAGTCCTTCGAGCTCTAGAAGTCATTTCGAAGTTTGCCCACGTAGCTTTCACCCGGGCAAAATGTGCCCATCTTCCCCGCTTTCGTAAGACGCTAGAGCCCGACGCACATTCCATGCAAGCTTATTACACTAACATATGAAATATCGGAAACCAACTAGGTATACGGAGTATACACCGCAGACTGCATGTTCTGTACTCCGTACTGCCAGGGCAGTTCTCATCCAGGGGTGTGACAAACAGACATTTACCCGGGTGATGGTAAGTGCGCCCACTTATGTATTTCCTGCCTGCTTCCTTCCGTGTGGCTTACAATAATCACATCATCACTCCCTTGCAGCAGTTGCATTTTAAGTTGCTTCTCGGGAAGGGAGGTAGAACCAACGGGGCTAGATCCCTTTGTTTTGGGTTAAGTGGAGGGCGTATGGAGTACAAGTTTGCCTCGGTGCAACTTGCGACCCAGATTGGTATTGGGTGGCGCAGGGTTGGACAACAAGTTGTTTTGTTATATTGGAATATATGTATCTTATATGTATCTTATTGGATATTGAATAGAACTGAAACTGACTACTCCGTACATTATATGCAGTACTATTGGTTTCATAGGGCCCCTTAAAACACCCGGACGCTCTAATCATTACGGGCGCTTAGGTGATAGGCTCAGGCAGCCCTCTAGGGCTGCCTAAGATTTCTGATAGAAAGTGCACTACCACCATCCTGCCAAGCCGCCTGTTTTAGTTTTAATGGATGTAAAAGTATTGGGTTTAGGGAGATTTTAAACGACAAGGTAACTGATGTTGGGTATTTCAATTGTAGCCTTCACAACGGAGTATCTTGGCTCAGGTTATCCACATTCGTGTTAGGCCCACCACATAGTAACTTTCTAAGTTTAGAAATAGGTATTACTTTGTCTGAAATTAGGTATAGATGGAGATAGATGGGGAATACTAGGTAGCAGTATAACCCCTAGCCATAGCTCCAACCCCATCAAAGTCAAGTTATCACCTGGGCGTTTTGACAGTTCAACAAGGCCATGTGGTCCAACGCTCGTGGACATCCCGTTAGCAATCATACATCAGCCCATTTGCCAGTCTGTTGCATGATGACCTCTTACCGGCATTCAAGGAACCCCATTTACTGGTGATTTAATACCGAGTCCGCTAATAATGGTGTGAGGGCAATATAATTATCCCCTGCACGCCCAATAATACCTTGAAAGACCGCCGATTTGATCAAGAATTGCCTCGTTTTAGGGTGAACCGAAGAGGAAAAGCGGTAATCTTCACTTCGAAGTGGATGCGGAAACGAGAGCGAAGGAGCGCAAGACCCGGGGTCATCCTAGTGCCCAGGTGGGCCAGCTGGGAGAAAAACAAAGGCTCTTTGGCCAAAAACGCCATGATCCCTCAGGCTTGGCCAAAAAGAACCGGTGTGGTTTAAATTCAGTGATAGTAGCCAAAAGAGCGGTGACAGAGAAACCAATGCCCCAGCGCTGCAAGGGCAAACGAGGTCACTCGTTAACCCGAAGACTTTCCCAAATCATTAGAGGCGATGCATGTCACATCAGGGTTTGGGAGACAATTGGGACGCTGTTGGGCAATGACGGAGTAGACTTGAATTCTACCACCGTTGGGGTAAGGCTGTCAAATGATTGAGGGATCAGCCGTTTCAAACAAGACATATTTCTTCAATCTCTTGCAGATCATATTGAGATTATAGCAAGTCCTGCATAGGAAAAAAAGTGAGGCGGAGTATATAAATCTTGGGGGAGCTCGGGGCGGCTATTGTCTCTCTCTTGTCTCTTGACAGGCGCGGTTACGAAATATAAAAAAAAATAAAAATTGACTTGGCATCAGGGGGTATGGAATCCTTCAAGATGTTCGAACGTTCCACAGTTGCATGAAATATCGGAGAAAAGGGGGAAGGGGACGAAAGCGATAGAAATATCAAAACAAAAAAGGCAACCGGGGGGTACTGCGTATGGTAAATACATAAATACAATACTGTAAGTTACAAAACAGATCGGCACGAAGAATCACCCAGCCGGTTGCCCACACGGATGCCTTGGACTTGGATTTTTTGCATTGTTCTTCCCACCTCTTACCTAGTCGATGTAATATAGACTATTTAAAGGTCCCCCTCTTCTATATCTTTACCCAATCTCCATGACAACATGGAGGATTGGGCTCTCGTTTTTTCTTACCGGGTGCGTTGGCCACTCCGAAGGCTCGAATGATAAGCTAATTCTCCCTAGATGACTGAAATGGGCGACAAGCCAATGTGCCGTAAGGAGGCCATACTGACTAGGCGAAATGTTTGCAGTCTGTTAGATGGCAAAACAAGGCCCTCAGATAGACTTGTCCGTAGCGACGTGTCACATAGGTATATTGCAACCTTCCAACCTTGGAAGCTTCTGTTGCTTACATATCTTTTGACTGTTCACATAGGCGATCTATGAAAAGGTTATTGCCAGAAGAACCCATATCTGAATCGATGGGTACCCATGGCCGTTGCTCGGCCGCCTCGCCAATATCCAGTGTTCGACCAAAGTCTACTAGCGTCCTAGCAGATGATCGCACTATGGACCCGCCTAGTAGCCCCGGCATGAGAGTGATGAGAAGCCCCGCTTGCACCAGTGTAGGCCACGTTGGCAAATCTCGCCGCCTGGACAGCTTCCGGGCCTCTCGGGAGCCTCGGCGGTTATCGGGATCGGCTTCTCAGCAGCTAAAATCTAGCGTGCCTCAATGTATAGATGAACCCCCAGCAGATCCAAAAATTGAGACCAGTGCACTCAGGCAGGAAGAGGGATTACAGCTAGCTCAAGGCTCTACGACACGTCCAGAATTGCAAAGATCATATCCAACACCCATTGTTGTGCACAGCCAAAATGCTGTTGGGGTTCAGAATATCCCCCATGTCACGCAGCCGAAAATGGAAACGCAAGAATCTTGGGAGACGCGAAATGATCAAGTAATAAATCAAGGTCAAAATCAAAATGGGGAGACAGTGGAGGAAGGTGCAATCACTCAGGAAGCAAAGCCTCATGAAATGTTCAGGCAACTGGAGACCCACACCATCAGTGAGGAGCAACTGATCAATGAGGTGCGGGGGATTTATACCGGACTTGTCATGGTGGAAAAGAAGTGCATCGAACTCGACAGGCAACAGGCGCAATCAAAGGACGAACTGTCACAAGATCAGTGGCAAAAATTCGTCTTGTTGCACCGAACACTACTCTATGAGCATCATGACTTCTTTCTCGCCTCCCAGCATCCGTCGGCTGGTCCTGTTCTTAAAGAATTGGCTCAGAAGTACGCGATGCCGGCGCGTATGTGGCGATACGGAGTGCATTCATTCTTAGAGCTGTTGCGCCACAAACTTCCTCAATCGATGGAGTATATGCTCGACTTCATCTACCTCTCATATTCAATGATAACGTTGCTGCTAGAAAGCGTGCCATATTTTAAAGAGACTTGGATCGAGTGTCTGGGTGACTTAGCACGGTACCGAATGGCCGTGGAAGAATTCGATAAGAAGGACCGTGAACTCTGGGCAGGGGTTTCGAGGTATTGGTATAACCAAGACGCAGAGAGAAGTCCGGAAAACGGCCGTATCCAGCATCATCTTGCTATTTTGGCGCGTCCGGATGTTCTCCAGCAGTTTTTTCACTACACGAAAGCATTGATCAGTGTTCGCGCATTCCCTAATGCTCTCGATAGCATGGTCCAGCTAGTCACTCCTCTTATGAATCTGCCGGTTCAGGAGGGAAGTCAGAGTTTGATTACTTCGTTCGTGACTACTCACGGTGCGCTTTTCATGCAAGCTCCGGTTGAGGATTTCGTTTCTCGGGCGAATCTGTTTCTTTCTACTCTGCGTAAGGAGATTGGTCGGGTATGCCGACATGGGCAGCAAGGTGTGCATGGGCAGCAATGTGTACATGGGCAACAGGGTGTGCAACTTACGTCTTGCAATATCTCCGCAATATTTCAATATGGGAGTAAATATGGAGTGATGGAAAAGGATTTTATATTGAAATTGCGCAGTCCTACGGCAGAAGATCGCCTGACGGCTATGAAGTGGGCATCTAGTGCACCTAGTGCCCCGAATGCATCAATCCATGCCACATACAGTGATCTTTCGTCCCAGCTTACGTTCCGGGCAAGCTCTCTCGCATTTCACACATTGATCGTCATGTTAGGCCAAATCGGTGATCCCAACATATACCCGAGTGTGCATATCTCTATGGCATTTGTGTGGTGCCTCACACTCAACCCAGCTGCTATACAACGACTAGAACCACTGGTTCCGTGGTCGCGACTCGCGAATTATCTGAACACCTTGTTCCGTCCCGATACGATCATTGCAAAGATCGAAGACGAATCATTCCCGCTTCTTGACGAGTCAAGTACACATCAGCTACCGGAGGACTTTTTAATCAGAGGACAGGCATGGAGCCGGCTTTACTACCCAGGAGATTTCTTCGAGGGGGCTCCTACAGAAGACGACAGGCCATCAATAGAAGAACGCTCAACAGTGATTCCTAGGGAACATCGATGTCTTTGGTTGGGGGTGCGGATTGCAACTGTCTGTTAGCCCTCATGTCCCTAAAAGCATATTTAAAACTGACCATCTAACTAGTTCACCCGCTGGATGACATACGACCAAACGCGACGATTCACACCCACCCGATTAGCAGATGAATTCGCGCCAATGGCAGAATCCCCCGCTTACCTGTATGGCAATCCCTACTCACTAGGAACTGATATATCAACATCCTCCGATCAGGAGATGCAGGAAGTTTGAAAACGGGGTTGGGTGACTTCCGGCTCTGTTGCGGGTTCCGTTATGGCGTAGGCTGTGCGTCTTGGCGGTGATCATTTAGGGGCTGGTGGAATCCTGGGGTTGTCTTTTTTTTTTTTTTCTTGTTCGCATTAGTGCTCCAGCCTTTTTGAGCACGGATCATCCCTTTGGACACTTTCCGTACACGAAGCCAGAGAGTGGATCCTTTTATTCTGTTATTACCAAGCCGGAAATTAATGAGTCGGCCACAACTACACGACAGATATCAGATTGCCCTCCGGACCCACCCTGGATGGCCTGCCTCTGTCTGGACCACTCTCCGAGGACTGAACCGGTTGGGGTCTCCAAGGATTCTCGCATCTATTGCCATTGATATATGGAAAGGTCCCCTATCCCAGGATGCCCTCGCTTCTGTTCGTCCGGCTCCATAATACTTGGGAACGTTCACAGGCCTTGCTGATCAGTTTCCAGGCATTGCGCTACGCTTTTCCACCGTGGTTGGACTTGCCATGTTGTAAGCCAAGACTCCTGCTTCAATCGCTTTCTGGTCTCGGATTATTGCGTACTCCTTCTATCCAGGAGGGGTACGTTCAGAACTGTTAGAAAGAAGTCGTTCTTGACTTCTCGGTGTGTTGTTTTGTACTTACTGGTTGGGTGAAGGAGTCTTGCTAGAATATCAGAGGATACAAGACTAGGGAGGCAAAGTGGTAGGAAGAAGAAAAATCGAGACGATAACAGAAGGAAAGTGTTTGAATGAAACTATGGAAATATTGAACTTTGAGTGTCAGACCTCCGTGGTCCTGTTTCACTTAGCCAATTCTCTTACTATCCTTTGCTAGAGGCAATTCTCTAGCTTTGACAATTGAAGATCACTCTGAGGGAGTCGCGCCATTTGATGGAGCAAGAATCAGCTCTTGTATGCGACCATGTTCACTCCAAGAGCTGACCGATCTATGTGATCTGAGGTTAAACGCGTATAGACAGGCGTATACGTGAACACAGGCAAATGAGCTACAGTATACTTGAACTGTAACGGAACACATATGTATAAGAAAATAAATTCTAATACCACTTATATAAAATAGTAAGACATAGGATCATATAATATCTTACGAACGGTGGCTCCCGGAGGTGGATCTATTCCGTATCGGCTTGCGTGTTGCCGATAAAAGGCCAAGCTGGCGATTATCAACTTACAGCATTCCTCCCCTCCCTTCTACCGTCTCTCTCCCTCTCCCTCTTCAATGGCGAGGATCAATCTGTCTTACCTCTATGAATAAACAGTTTCTCTCTCGGACCTAAGTGCTTGCCTTATCCCTTCCGGCATCGCTCCCGTCTCCCCATTCCGCATCTCTTCCGTCTCCGCATCTGACGTCCAGCTCGTCACTCTGCACAATGGCGGCAGCTTGGAGCGAGGTCTGTCGCCAATGCGTCAATACTGTGGTGGAAATCCCAGTTCAGATCTTACTCATTGCTGCCCTGGCCACGTTTCTAGGACTATTTGTCCTGGTGAGTCCACTTTCCCCCACTCCGCTTGTACCAGCCAGATCGCGCGCTCCAGACACGTGCAGCCCTAATTACAAGTTACTGACCTATCGATTCTCCTTTCAATCATCTAGTTCTCATTGTTTATATTTTTCGTTGCGCCAGTCCCACGAGAACCTCTACCAGAAGAAAAGAAGTATAGAACCCTCGCCAAAGATGGATCCGTGACAGACCCCGAGCCCCTACCCTGCTGGCTCGAAAGCCTAGACGCGAAAAAGGGCACCCCCAAAAGCACCACAGCCCATACGATCGCACCAGCCGAGCTATTCATGTCCGTCGTAGTACCAGCCTACAACGAGGAAGACCGGTTAACTGGAATGCTGGAAGAAGCCGTCAACTACCTGGAGCACATGTATGGGGACACAGCCAGCGCGATCGCCAGGGCCAGCAGCCCAAGCACAATGGAGACGCGCTCAATGCGCAAGCGCAAGCCGAACCAGGAGACCACTAGTGACGCCACAGGCTCCACTTCAGATCGCGGCTGGGAGATCATCCTCGTCTCGGACGGGTCGACAGACCGCACGGAGGAAGTGGCATTCCGGTTCGCGCGTGACCACCAGCTTTCTCTACACCCCAAGGGACACGCGGGTCCATGGACACCAAAGGCCGCGGAGGGCGTTCATATCCCGCCTGGCACAATCCGCGTCGTGAACTTGACTCACAACCGCGGCAAGGGCGGTGCGGTCACGCACGGTATGCGCCATGTCCGTGGGAAGTATGTTGTCTTCGCGGATGCGGATGGGGCGAGCAAGTTCGCTGATCTCGGTAAGCTTGTTGGGGCTTGTCGGGATGTGGAGGATTCGAATGGGCGGGCGGTTGCTGTTGGATCGCGGGCGCATATGGTTGGTAGTGAGGCTGTGGTCAAGGTATGATATTTGATATCTGGGTGATTGGATGTTTTGTGAGGTTGATTGCTGACTCTGCTCGATAGCGATCCAAGCTTCGAAACTTCCTGATGCATTCGTTCCATTTGATCCTGCGGCTCATGACGCCTCCTAAAACGGCTACTGTCAAGGATACGCAGTGCGGGTTCAAGCTGTTCTCTCGCAGTGCGCTGCCTTATATTGTGCCGTACATGCATTCCGAGGGCTGGATCTTCGATGTTGAGATGCTCATGCTGGCTGAGTTCGCTCGGATCCCTGTGGCCGAAGTCCCTGTGGGATGGAGGGAAGTCAAGGGTAGCAAATTGAATGTCTTACGAGATAGTATCGGCATGGCTTGGGGTCTGGCTGTTCTGCGGGCAGCTTGGTCGCTTGGTGTGTATAGACAGCGATGATCAAGTGAGGAATTCAATTGTCCCCGCTATTTTCGAATAATCTTTTTATAGCGAATATATTGCATCTTGAATTTTTGGAGACTCGGGTTTATTTTAATTTTTTTTTTATTATTCGCCAGAGTGGATAATTCAATCGGCTTCCGATGTACTTCTTCAAGTGATGTCATTTGATCTTGTTGGCAATGAAAGGGGACGGGAATTGATAGTGCCGGTTTACCAGATTGTTCAGTTTATTATTGATAAACTGATATTTGAATGTGCTGCCGAGAAGAGAGAAGATTCGCTAGATATCTGCGATGACGTCTCTATTGGATCAAAGGTGTGCAGCTTGGTTCACTACGAATATGATTACCTAGGTACTTCTACCATACAATAATATCACAATGGATGGCAGCTTTGTACCTATTTATACTCGATATACAGTCTGCATCTTACATTATGCGACCATGGCATGTTACTCAAGCCCAAGTACATAGATTGTGTGGTCCTCGACGTTGCTTGGCATTACTATCTCTTCACAATTTTTCTATACATCAGATCCACTAATACGTGGGTCCCCAAGGACAATATCATCCCATTTAGAAGGTTACTGCATAAAATTTTTGCATTGAATACATCCATGGTCCAGGGATCTAGGAACGGGTAATTACCTCGTGGGTTATGTACTACATACCTAGGTACATATGTATAATAGCTTGAATATTCCAACCTTGGAAGGTTTAACTTGTACGGAGGGCAATATGCGGTGAAGTATATGCAGTATATGCGGTGTGATATCTTAGATCAGATACTCGACATGGGCTGATGCTCTAGAATTTATGTTATGCAAGGTCATCTAAGAGTACAGAGTACAGCTATTTTGGTTCAGCATTGACTTTTTCTGATCGAAAATTTTCTGACGGTGGCGACACATCTATATAGCGTATACACCCGAGTGGTACGACTGCCTTTTAAACGGAATTAACAGCCGCGTTTCGCAAGCTCAATATTTCATCACAGATTGCTCATATTGCTTTTTCTTCTAGATCTATAAAGTAGGGAGATATGAAGCCAAATCTCACCCACACATCGATATCACCATCGCGGCTCCTCCAACTCCCAGCCGAACTCCGTCTCAAGATCTACGAATATGCACTAGACGTACCAAATGAGTATCTAGTCAGCAAACCCATGATCGTGCTAGGCGATCATGGCAATACCTTCACAGCCCGTGGTCAATACCGAGCATTATCAATGAGTCCGCACTGGGTTGGCGAAGACGGCACCGCACGCAAATTACTCGCGGTGAACCGGCAACTCCACAACGAAGTCGAAGACTACCTCTACTCAACACACACCCTCTTCCTCCGCAACTCCTTCAATCTGGACCGACTAGGCGACTTCCTGGATACGCTCAGTGCAACCGCCCGTGCCCGCATCCGCAGCGTCGGTTTCGAGGTCTTCTTCTTTGTGCACACGCAAACCGGCGTGCCGAAGCGCACGCTAAAGCAATACGAGGCCGCCGCACGGCTTCTGGCCGAGAAACTTCCGCTCTGGAATAGTGTGCTACTGTACCTCGATCCGCGCTACTATTATCCGTCTGCGAACGTGGGTGGTCGGGATCTCACGGCCCGAGGGGTGTTTGATCTTGCTACACGCTTCGGCACTTTGTGTAAGGATGTGAGCTTCTATCCGCTGCCGAATGGTGATCATCATCTGCTTGATGAAGCTCAGCAGTTTGTTTGGCGGAGTCGTTCGCCGCTGAGACAGCCAGATGCTCGTCGGTCGATTAAGGGGTGTTCGGCTTGGTCTTTGGATTTCAAGAAGAACATGGTTGCGCCAAGTCGGGTCCAGCCTGCCTCGTCTGTTTACTGAGGGTTTTCCCTTTTTCCCTTTTTTTCATTTATTTCGGTGTTATCTTCTTTTCTATATCCTTTTGTTTTGTTTTTGTTTTGTTTTTTATTTTTTGCATTTTTTAGCATTGTGAACCTCGGGGGATCTGGTCTGACTTGTTCGAGTTTGCTTTTAGCAGGCCCCTGCTCTGCGTCATGATGTCTGAGCGCGCATTATACCAGTCAAGTGCATATTAAAGGTGGTTTAATGACATCTTTGGCGCAAGTGGCGGAACTAAGGCGGGCTTCTTTTTTACTCTCTCCATTCTTGTTGATTCCACTAATACAGTACGGAGTACAGGGGTGAATTCTAGATATATATTCTAGATATATATATTGACGGGGTATACTCCAGGACTGTTTTTTGGGGGTTATATATTTACACACACATATAGATGACTTATAATATATATTAGATATACCAGATATGTATCTGATCATCCTACCTATGTATATCATCTGATAAATGACATTTCCTATTAGAGCCCCTTTGACGTCATACGCTGTGGTCAGATCCGAATTTCCTTTTCCATTTCTCATGTAACCCTCCTCATTTTCCCCAGAATTTGTGGGGATGAGCAATTTAGTACTCCGTATATTTGACCTCTTTCCTACTTCGCTACTTTCCTTGGGAATTTAGGAACTTTGTACCTGAAAAGCTACCCAAATCCTAAGCCCACCATTCATCTACGAACGCATGTCCCGAGGCTTGACATGTGCTGTATCCGGAACCTCGCATGAAATTCCGGCATATTAGATGGCCAAGTGCTGTGAACTCATTGACCGCTCCTAGGAACTCCACTGGCCTCGACGTGTAAAGCCACACTGCAGGTTGGGCACTATCGTGATTATCGTACTATCCACGTTACTATCGTCTCGACCCCCTAATATACCCTTATCTGCCGATTTGCGCTCATTATCGTGAGAAAATCAAATCTCAGACATCATGAAGCCTACCAAATTACTAGACGGCCACGGAAGTCTCTACAAGGAAGTACGCTTTTCTCCGACCGAAACACCAATCCGTCGCACAAAATCCGTTTCAGCCACATTTCCTCCTGTAATTTCAGGCCACGGCCGAACAGCATTCCAAGACTCGACGTGGGTGAATTCGTTCACCATGGATACGTCCTATATCGACCAATCGCGGGCACTTCTCCAGAGCCAACGGCTGAACTTTGAGACGGAGAGGGAATTGTTTGCGCAAGAGCGCCGGTTATGGGAGAAAGAGCGCGCGTTCTTACGATCGAAAATTGCTGAGCTGGAGGTGTTTGTCAAAAGTCAAGGAAACAGAACAAGTCAATTGGGATCGGAAGCCGCCAAACTTGTGCTTGCAGGTGGAATATCGCAGTATAACACAAATGGCCTTGCGGCTCAAGTGTGGGAGGGGACAAGTCCAGGCAATCCTCCAACAAGGGTGTTCTTCGACCATGAATCTCCAGACCAAAGCTATCTATCGCCAATCTCCGAAAGTGGGAATCCGCCATCCCTTGATCGGGCTCTTTCCCCCAATCACGACCAGTAGACCCTTCTGGAGCAGCTGTGAGTCAGCCGGTGCCGATCGAAAAGCTTGACAGCACCCTGGATGGTATCACGCTCAAGTCTACGGCGCTGCCACCCGCCGTGGTAGCTCGAGTGATCACCCCGCCCTCCCCATCGCCCCTGGTAACCCCTGGAACTGCCCCTTCAACCGCTGCAAGGCCTATCATGGAACATCGAAACAGTCTTAAGTTAAAGCTGTCAGAGCTTGGACCGCCCAATGAGAACTTGCTCCGCCATGCAGGTCACACCCCGATGGCGATCATCGACGCTGATGATAGTCGGTCCACTCAGGAGGGGACTCCCCTCGAGGCTGGCTCCCAGATTGAGAACGCCCCTCTTCAGCCCGTGGCGAACGTTCATCAACCCACCGAAAATGAGATCTCCTACTTTCCGGATGTGCCAGACGACCCCGCTCTCACGGGGCCCCTCGGTCTGATTAATGATGACGAGCACGACTCCAATTTTTTGAGCGAACTCGATCAGAAACTCCTTGTTCAAGCGAAGAATATTCTAGGCAGCTCGGTGGAATCGGCTGATCCCAATGAGAGCGATTCTGAGTCTGAATTTCCTCGCCAAGGCGAGCAAGAACTTGAAATCAAATTCAAGAAATCAACTAATTTCGGCACTGCATTTGGGATATCGAACTCGGGTCAAGTGTAAGGAAACATATATTTCCCATATACATTTGGATCTTTGTGATCTGTGTGTGAAATAGGTCCTACTATGTCTCCTGCGGATTACTTGATGTTTTTTTTCTTCTTTTCATGGAGCAGCATATGCTTTTGATGCTGTACCTTTTTGTTTATCTTCTGTTCTCCATTCTGGCGAAATACCTTACGAGATTATGATATATGCCGATATGTGCAATACAACCTCATCTGTTTCAAATGTTTTAGATTTCTTCCAGGTTAGTCTTCGTTTCTGGGGTGACCTGCTTGACTTGACAGGCAACGGCCAACAGCCCTAGCAAGTTGCATATGGACTCGCCTGTGTTCGAGTTCCTTGCGTGTGATGTGTATGCATTGAATCTTAGTCCAATGTCCTGATTGGCTCCTTGAAAAGTTTCTTGTAGAGAGGGATCTTAGTGTCTCTGTGCCTTATTGGCTACTATCCCTTGCATCCATACAACTTTACTTCCCCATTCGGCCACACGTGTTCTCCTACCCCCCCAGAGAACTCCATCTGCATCCCATACAATGCAAATCCCACTAATCTTGTCCTAGTTGGGCTACGATAGCTCGGGCGTCCGGGGAAGGCTCGGGCATAAACTTTACACTACTCGCCAGCGCACGTCTAGTCTCTCGACAGAGCTGCAGCTCGTTCCTATTGAACCATGCTGCTTGCATGCCCTAATTTCCACCAATTACTTGATTCCAGACCCCTTAAGACCCAATGTCTCTCATGATTTCTTTCCCAGCAGTGGCCGTTGACTTTGTACCTTGCAGATCACTGCCCTTGTGGCTTTTTTAGATGAGTACCACCCAGGACTAGTTCGTGCCTTGCAGATATCTCATTATCTGGTTCGATCTGGTCTTGGATAGAGCCCTTGGTTCTCCCCATGATACTGTTCAAGTGTATACTTTGCATGGGTGCCGAAAAGTACATAAGGATCATTGTTCACGCCTCAAATTCAATTCTTCAGCAACCATCACAGTCTCTAAACAGTCATTCACTCTTCTCTCTCTCTTTCCAACTCTCCTTCAATCACTTTATAATTTCGATCTTCGGATTCATTTAATCAACAACTTCTATCTTCCTGTCTTCCTAAAATCAAAACCAAAAAAACACACTACCGCAACAATGGTCTCGACTACTATCAACTTCTCCGGCCTCATGTGCCTCGTCCTTGCTCTCGGCCCCGCCACCGTCCTCTCTGCTCCCCAGGTGCCGGCTCCCCAGCTGCCCGCTCTCCCATTCCCGGAGATCATCAACCACGGCCCCGAGACCACCAACCTGGGCCCAGACAACAGCGAGACCTCCGCCGGCAGCGGCGTCAAGGTCGGCATCCCCGGCGGTCCCTATGTGAACGTTGGCGCCGGATTCCTCGACTCTCACCGCGGCCCCTGCGGCCCTGGCTCAGGCGATGACCACCTCGCCGGCGCTGGTGTTGACGTTGGTATCCCCGGTGGCCCCAGAGTCAACGTTGGTAACGGCGAACACCACCACCAGGACGGCTACCCTTGCCCTGAGCCCCCTGCCGTTGTCGTTGTGCCTACTCCCACTGCCAACCCTCCTCCCGTGGTTGTTGTGCCTACTACTACTGTCAGCCCTCCCACCGAGATCATCACTCCCCCCGCTGAGACTGCCCACCCTCCTACTTGGACTGGCGTCCCCACTATCCTCCCCCCCACCTTCACCACCCCCATCTCTGGCCCTCTTACCACCGCCCCGGCCGGCTGGGTGCCCGCCCCCGCCCAGTCCTCCACCCCTCTGATCCACCACGCCGTGCCCACTGCATCCGCCTCGCCTTCCGCTGTTCCTTCCGTTCCCGTTGTGCCCGTCTTCAATGCCGGCTCATCTCTGGTCCCCGGATCCGTCCTCGCAGTGGCTCTTCCTGTTATCGTGGCTTTCTTCCAGTAAAGTCCCTGCTTCAACTTCTCTACATTTACTGAACACGATGAAAAATGGCGAAAACGACCCGGATAGACCTTCCACCTGTCACCGACGTGGTTGGTCTCTCTAATGATTGATCGGACCTGTGTATCTCTTGTATCTCCCTATATTCTTCCTTGTCTACTTTTTTCTCTACAATTTGTCATCATCGGCCGGTGTACCCACCCCCGGATTATCTGTATCTTCTGTGCTCATTCGTGAGGGCCGAGCTTTATTATTTACTCTTTTGTTTGGCTGTTATCTAGCTACTGCGGATGGTTGTCCATTATGTTCACTTTGGACGTCCACCTGTGCTTTGCACTATTCGGAGTTCTTATGTGGTTTACTGTTATTTGTTATTTGTGGCTTTTGATATTATTACTCTCAATTCGAATATACTACTTTGATATACGACTAATTCTTCAACTTACTCGTAGGTACAGTAATGTTCAGCTTCGTCTCCCGATATTAATGCCCATCTACTTGCGAAATAATTCAGAATATTGTAGTAGGAAGGAAAGTTTTGCAAGATAAAGATATAAAACACGCAAAAGCTTACTATCAAGGCGCTCGCATGGGAATATGTCTATGTTGCTAGATAACCCTAACTCGAATCCTTGACCCGCAATTCAACTTTGCAGAAAGAACTATTCCCTAGGGGCCAGACAGCTGAATTGTCCCGGGTGTTGTAAACTAGCAAAATCGGTGGGTGGTCCGCGGGCAAAGGCACAGATGGGGGTGATGGGTTTGGCGCGTCAGAGAGAGTGTAACTCCAACTATCACCTTGATTGTACCACGTTGCGATATCAGAATATCCACGATAACGACGAAGAATAAGGGAACCGATGAGCCATGTATTTTCATCGACCTGCTTGATGGACTTGCTAACAGGGTCTTCGATTGGTTGAGGTTACCTTCAGAAGAAGATTTTGGGAGGAAATGGTTGATCTTGAGATTTAAAAAGAAATAGTCAGTGTGAGTTGGGAAAGGAGCCTTGGAAGGGAACCTGTAGCTAGATACATGCTCGGAGGAGCAACCCGACTTTTGCAGCCTAAGGAACCACACATCAACCTTTGGTCATGGAGTACGCTGTTGGGGATATTGCCAACGCATTTGCATACCCGGAGAGATAATCAGTCTTGCATTGATACCTTGTCAACCGGGGGCAAAACTAGCGCGGGGCTCAAGTTTTAACCCTCCGGTCTTACTTCGGAAATGCTCGGGACTATGTATGATCTCGCGATGCGATATGTCTACACTGGAATCTTCACAGATCGTAGGAAATTTGCCATGAGAAACTTCTCAAAGTCACCAAAGATAATACACAGCAAAAGCAACTCAGGGAAGGGGGAAGGGAGATTATCCGTACTCCCAGAAGCAGATTAACGCCAAACTCATGTCATGTCATGCATATCACATCTCGAAAATCAAGAGCAAGAGAGCAGGTCGCCAGATCCCAGCCATTATCTAGTCCAATTCGGTCGTAGAATATAGCTGCCCGGCCAGTAAGGGTCGGAGAAGACGATTCTGGATCTAATCCAAAAGAAATTATACTCCCATCGTAAAGTCGTGCTCAATGCCCGGCGTCACACTGGCAATGAATTTGAGGAACACAACCAGGTATTGGTCTACTCGGATAGCGACCTGTTCTTCCTCATCATGTTGCAGCATCTCCCACTCGTCCCCGCCAGGTTGTGCATGGTGGGAGTCCCCGAGGGACAGATTCTTTGTCTCATCTACCAAGCCCTCCAGTCCGCCGCCTGCCCGGAGAACGCGGTTCGCTTCCTCGCGTGACTGTGTCTGCTTGAGCTTGTCACGACGGAGCTTGAGTGCGGCATCGGCACGATCCAAAAGTGTCTTCATCACGGAGGCGTGGCGACATGGGTGTACACTGGCCATCTTGACACTGCCCTCAAACCACGGGAAGTCCTCTAGCGTCACGGTCTTATCTTTGTAGTCACCGACAATATCCTCCATCATTAGATGTGGCGGAAGCGGTTCGGATGCCGACAAATAGCCGGACAGGTAGAGGCGAGGTGTGCGGTAAAAGTTTGAGTAGGTAATGTAAAGGGTATAAGTGCGGAGAGACCTGGAGCGGTAAAGAGTCACGGGTTAGAAAAAGAGATAACGGTGAAGCTGGAGACAGAGAAATAGCACTCACTGTGTCCCTGACTGATCATCTGTCTCTCTGATGATGGCTTCCTCATCATCGTCTTCATCCTCCATATCGGGGATATCATCATCATCCTCCTGCTCCCCCAGGTTCCCGGATTCATCAACGGTTCGCACGTCACGAATCCGAGCTTCTTGCTTATCATGGTCTGCCCCAGCGTCGCGGCCACCACCGGTCCGCAACCATCCATCCTCTCCGCCGTCGGCAGATGTGCCTTCACCGCCATCACCGCCTGAGAGGAAATCCCTCACAATCTCATCCTCCAACCCTGCATCTCCGGCAAAGTTGTCGTTCAGTCTCCGATGACATGGCACTCCTCGTGTAACCAGGAACTGCTTGCCATCTGGAAGGTAGGATACCCGTTTTGCTGGACTCGATGCGTCGGCCCATGACCATGTGGGGAACTTGTAGACTAAATAATCTCCGGCGAGAACAAACTCCTCTGGAGTGATTTGGCCAGTGTTGCGGAAGGTGGAAGTGCGTGATACCGGGGCCAGGCGGTCCCGCCAAGTTGACAGTGTAGAGTGTAGGATATTCATAGTGTTTCACAGGTGAGAGTGAAGAAAGAGATACAAGAGAAACGGCGGGGGGAGGGTAAATGATAAGCGGTGGAGCACATGATCCGCCCCGCGTGAGCGTCATTTTGAACTGATATGGTTGCACGTGATGGTACCTATATGCTTATATAAGAACGTTATTTTATTCCAAGGTTCCAAGGTTCCAAGGTTCCAACCGATACTACGGAGTATGTTGTAGAGAGGTATATATCCTCCACAAGGATTGCCAACATAGGATGAACAAACGTGGATACTACAATGACATGCTATAACCATATGGGGAAATGATCTGGGTCCTCACTATGTCCATTTATAACCGAAGAGCTTTAATTCTCTGATTCCTAAAGTCATACCCTTCTATTTGGATGCCTAGATAGTTTTAGGCTGAAGAGCTATTTAGGATGTGTAAGATGTGCACATATTGACTAGTGGCCTCTTCCTTACTCCAAACATTGGAAATAATGAAATACTAGACATCGGGAATCTGTACAAACACAATTAACTTCTGTCCCCAGTGACTTCACTCCACGACCTTATTCCAACTCAACGTCCTTCCATTTATTTTGAAATCTCTATTTATTCTTGCTAGAGAGAATACATACGTAACTTGGTCATGTAAAAGTTTCTGTATCCTGTACGAAGAACTAGGTATTTACCTAACAGAAGGAGAGCAAACGCCATCTTCATATCTGGCCAATTCCTAGACTAAGAAAAAGATATTTTTCTGTTAAGAACAGTGATCAGAAAACCTCATATATCTTAAAAAAGTATTTCTCTATCAACTACGAGCAATCCTGGATGACAGCAGATATAATAGACATACCATAGTCGAGGATTCATCTTACCCCTTCATGATTATGGCTGGCCGTGAAAATCGGCGACTCTAAGGCCAAGGCCATACCAGCAAGCCAGGCCGGCCGAATAACTTCGAAACCCGTACTCAAAGCGACAATATCTGCAGGCAATTTCAGTGTGGCAATTGTACCTATGACTCGACTTGCAAATTCTCTTACGACCTGACAAGAGCTAGCGGATCTGAACCCAATACCGCGACTGATGATTCGCGCACCCAGAAACAGTACTTTGACTGGAAGAAAGTCATGAGAAGAAGCTTTATCGGTGTCAGATCTCGGAGGGGACACGGAGAGATTCTTTGACTGTGGAAAGGGGCGACTGATATCCTTGATAGCGAGAATACAGGGGACCAACAGCTCCTTGCCGGAGACCTTGTGGATGACGATCTTGATGGACATGGGGCTCATCCTGGCAACTAGTGACACATCCGGCCAATATTCGACTCGCAGTATAGCCGGGTATTCCATAAAACCTCCACATCAGTCTCGAAATGGCGCAACCTGGAAAGGGATGCAGCACCTTTTGCATCTCAAGTGGCCTATGATACACGCACAGCTGGATATGATGGATGCGGAGGGATTCCAAATGGTCAGTGTGGAGAGCCCATTGGAGGACGCAATCACCAGGCTGATGAGGGTGTTTCTCGAGCGGAGCATATGGAGTAGGGGTGGAAACATCCATGCCATTCAGTTATAATCAGCAATTTAACTAGCTATCGTGTCAGTTTGGAATAGCATTCATATATCTACTTTGTCTCTTACGTCAACAAGAGAAAATATGGTATGTCACATAGGTTCAGCTGGACAGGCCGCGGAATTCCCTGGGATTGTCCAATGCTGTGGATACAGCTAATCCTCTGATCGAATATTCGGCCACATCCGCAGAGACGAGGCCGTCCTGTGTGGGGGTGTTGCTATTCCTTCTGGGTGGAGCAGGGTCTTGCAAGCCATCTGGCCGTTAGGCCTTCCGTTGATCGGCAGTATTCCTGCCACCACGCAGTAGATAATTTCGTAGATAGCTTGCTAGCTTCTACCAGAACATCCTTCCTAGTAAACCTTTTGGCCTTGGAATTGGATGTTCTCGGCAAAGATCAAAGGGCATTCATTCACCCTCCTCCATCATGCGCCTCCGCTCAATTTCGGCATCCACTTCATCTACTACCATTGGGATAGCTCTGCTCTTCCACTGACTAACCTCCGCCCGCATAAAGCCTTCTGTACTCTTCATGCCTACGACCAAAAAGCCCAGCTCTTCACGATCAACATCAAAGACTTCCCACCACTCGCCATCCACAAGCTTGACCTCCTCCTCGCGTGAAGCGAGGTAGATGGCAGCCACAGCCAAGGCATTTGGTTGGTGGGTGACATAAAGAAGCTGCGGTGAAAGCAGCGCCGCATTGAGGTGCTGAATGACCCGTTGAGCCACAGCGGGCTTTGTCACGCCCAAAGTTTGAAGATATGTCAAAGCGATGGTATGCGGTAGGGCGACATGTGTATCAAAGCCGAGAGTACGGAGGATAACCGTTTCGGTGCGGAGAAGAACTAGCCGGGCGGACTGGTAGCCTCCCTCGGAAAGGATGTACGTTTCGGGAGATGGAGGGGTTTCAGGGGCCCCGCTCTGCCTCACAAACCACAAGGGTGATGCATCTTGGGATAGGAGGAATGTGTAGACATTGAGGACGGAACGTGGAGAGGTTGGTTGGAAGGAGAGCTTAGCGGTCAGGTACAAGGCTGCGGCGGACACATCCTGCTCCGGTTAGTGGATTAGATCAGAATAAATATTTAGAACTGGAGCTGGACTTACCTTGACCGAGTAGATTCGCAAGCTACCCCCGTCAGCGCCAAGCCAAAAACGCGTGAAGATCACGACTGCCTGGGCAATTATATCTTGCGACAAGTGTAGGAGAACCCCGGCAGTTTGAGTGAGCTGGACGCCCGCACAACGAATGGAGGTTTCGAGGTCAGATGGGACATTGTCGATGGAGGATGAAGATTTGGACAGTTGGTCAGGCGTTGCCAGGACATTGGATAAATGCTTCAAACCGGGAGCCATGACGCTGGAAGTTTGCAGAAAACGTGCGATGACGCAGATGCTCGTGCAGCTGAAACCATGCACAGCGGGAGCGGTAAAATAGACGATGACGGTATCAAACTCGAAAGAAGTCTAGTGGGAGGCAACGCTAATTTCCTATAATTAATCAGATTGGAAAAGGAAGATGTGGTGGATCATGGAGGTGGAGAGAGCTCCAGGCCGTTCAGCCACCGCTATTTCCTTCTCCCCAGCCTCTTGTTTTCTTGTCGTCAATTCCTGTGGTGTCTTTTGGTTTCAAATTCTAAAAAAAAATCAAGTCTCGACACTTTGAAACACGATCACTTCATTGAAACTACCTATACCGAGAGTACCTTTTTTGTTTGACTTTGAATATATCCCAGGGGGTCGTCCTTGATCAGCCTTCATACCTCCCCTCCTGCAAATCACCCCCAGGTTGCACACCAACGCCACATTGGGCCTGAATCGACGTGGCATTTCCATCCTGTCTGCTTGTTCTGTCGAAATAACCCCTCAGAACATGTCTCCCGATCTCTCCCATGCACCTGTCACCCTGCATTCCGATGGCACGCAATCTCACGAGACCGTTGCCTTGACGCCCCCAAGACCGTCGGTCCACCCAAGCTCGCGAAATCACTTTAACAATCCGCCTTCACATCGTCGGGCAAACACTGAATATATTGCAAGACCCCCACTCTTTGAGCAAGGCACCAACGACACGATATCAGGCTCGAAGAATACCACTTGGACGGAAACCTTCCCGAAGAAGAAGCTTGAAGCAAGAGCCAGGGTCTTGTCAGACTGGTTCCAGGGGAAATCAGATCCAGTCGAGTTGGGACTGAAAATGGGCCCCAACGGTTCTTCAGAGGTGACCGGATTGAATTCCCGCCCAACTCCAACATCCATGTCACATACGAGGCAGAACTCGACCCCGACAAATCGGTTTTCATTCTTCGGCCTGCGTCGACAACCAAGCAGACCCAACTTCCCAGAACCAGCAGATGATGAGTTTCTAAACCTGGACATCACTGCCGCTCTCTCACTACCTGAAACCCATGGTACTAACGATGAGGCACTGGATGCCCTACGAGACCATGCCGACAAAGTGCTACGACGCATGCAGGAGGCCTATAAGCAGCGCACCTTCGCCATGCACCAAGCATTGGCAGACAAGAACGAAAAGCAGGAGGAGCTTGAAGAGACTCGCGCCAGAGTCGATCACCTCAAGGTGCAGCTGGACGGCATGGCCGCCAAGGTGCTTGATCAGGAGAAAGCCATGCAGGCCATGGCCGAGGAATTGGAGCAAGAAAGACAACTGCGAAAGACGGAGGAATCCCGCAGTCGCAGTGATACAATGCGTATCGTGCATCCAGATGACGACGTGCTTTCCATGGCGCTCCAAACTCCTCGGCGTGGAGGCAAGCGTGCTAGTCACAGCACCTTCACCAGCGACTCGGGCTTCGAGTCTGGTGACGAGAGCGTTGCGGATAGCGTCTTCTCGCAGCGTGAGGGTGTCGAGTCTCCCACCTCTATGCTGACAGCGCCGTCTCCCAACATGTCGCAGATCGCCCTGTCTACACCAACGGGCCCGATGCCAACACCCACAATCCAGAAGAATCTGGTCGCGGTCACGAGTACACCACCGCCTGCCCGCTCCTCGGCTTATGATCGGGTGTTGAAGGGTCTTGCTTCAACGCGTTTAGGTAGCTCTTTCTCTGGTGGTAACGGCAACGGGTCTAATTGCAACAACTGCTACGGAGTCCCCGCTTCCGAGGCATGGAGTGTCATGGGTGTTCTGCAAGACGAGAACCGGGGTCTGAAGACACGATTGGGAGAGCTTGAGGTGGTCATTGATGATTGTCTGGGTCTCGTCGGACCTTGATGCTAGATTTTCCTTTCTCTTTTTTTTTTGGCAATATTATGCTCTTTATAAAATGCTGGCATATATTTACACAACTAAAGCAGTTGGAATATTTATTTTGGGCATGGATATCAAAATTATTCCCAATAATTACCCCATATGTTGTAGACCCCTAGCTGTCCCGATCGCGTAGTTAGTACCGTGGCCTCTGGAGTGTGGGGATAGCTTGGAGCCCTGTTCTTGGGGGTTGCAACGACACATCGGACTTGGAAGAATAGCAGGAAAAAGAAAGTGTTGGAGAATTGAATTGAAGCTCAGATTAGTGCAGTTATCTCCAAGTATCCCATTACTTTTTTGGTTGAGTCACCAAGTTGGTTGTTGCGGCGAAGACCAAGTGGCCTTAATTAGCGCGGAAGCGAAAAGTGGCCAGCGAACCTCTTCTGTCTTCTTCTTCCCTCCTCCCCCATCCTCCCGACAACTTCACCTTTCTCCTTTTGTTTTATTTTCTCTTAATATTTCACTTCCATTCCTTTAGCTGGTTTTCGACTCCAGCTTTCTTTTCTTCTTTAACGGATTGGGAGGAAGATAGCCACCATGAGCGGCCGTGAGTCCCCGAATCGTCTGGCACGCGGTCGCGACAATCCGTCTCGAATCGGCCTCAATTGATCGTCAAATGCTGATGGAGGAATATAGTACGCTTCCTTGACTTGATCAAGCCCTTTACGCCCCTCCTCCCGGAGGTGGCAGCTCCTGAGACTAAGGTGCCCTTCAACCAGAAGTTGATGTGGACTGGTGTATGTCGCCCTGAACCCACCCTTTCCGCGCCAGGTCGATTTGGATCCTAATGGAATTACGTTACAGTTGACTCTGATGATCTTCCTGGTCATGAGTCAGATGCCTCTTTACGGCATTGTCTCCTCCGACACTTCGGACCCCCTGTACTGGCTCCGTATGATGCTGGCCAGTAACCGGGGTACTCTGATGGAGCTGGGTATCACCCCTATTATCTCCTCCGGCATGGTCTTCCAGGTATGCGATTCCAAGAACCCCCTTATCATGGTTCGCGGTCCTGTTATTAACATTTCTCGTTCTCCAGCTCCTTGCCGGTACCCACCTCATCGATGTTAACCTCGACTTGAAGACCGACCGCGAGCTCTACCAGACCGCCCAGAAGCTCTTCGCTATCATTCTCTCCTTCGGCCAGGCCTGTGTTTACGTCCTGACTGGTCTCTACGGCCAGCCTAGTGACCTCGGTGCCGGTATCTGTGTTCTCCTGATTGTCCAGCTGGTTGTGGCTGGTCTTGTTGTTATTCTGCTTGACGAGCTCCTCCAGAAGGGCTACGGTCTCGGCAGCGGTATTTCCCTGTTCATTGCCACCAACATTTGCGAGTCAATTGTCTGGAAGGCATTCTCCCCCACGACTATCAACACTGGCCGTGGCCCCGAGTTCGAGGGTGCTATTATCGCTTTGTTCCACCTTCTCCTGAC